CTGTGCAAGGGTTATTGGTAAGAATGCCATCCAGAAATAAGTCTTCGTCATCCTATTCGGCCTGTGCCAGTTCAAGGTCATGCTGTTCGGGATAAAGAACGCCCCGGGCACCATCCAATGGATGGTGGAACAATTCCTGGATGGTCTACAGGATTTAGCTTGCACCTATCTGGACAACATTGCAATCTTTAGTACCACCTGGGAAGAACATGTTGGAGCCGTCTTAGATAGAATTAGGAGCGCTGGCCTGACCCTGAAACCCAGTAAATGCTACATACGGATGGCTGAATTTCAGTATTTGGGATACCGGATGAAATAGAAGCTGTGGCAAACTGGCTAATCCCCCGAACTAAGACCCAGATAATGGCCTTCCTGGGGACTGCAGGCTATTTTTGAAAGTTTGTCCCCAACTACAGTTCCCTTGTCAAGTCCCTCACAGACTTGACAAAGAAAAACCTTCCCTGACAAGTGGTATGGGCTTACAAGTGTGAGCAGGCTTTCTAGCAGTTAAAGACAGCCCTTGTGAATACCCCTGTCCAGTTCCTAATGCAACTAAACAATTTCTTGTCCATACAGACGATTCTATGTTTGGACCACCGTGTCCCATTAAATTTTGTCATTGTCCCACATCAAGTGTCGTCTGATGTGTGGGGGCAATAAGGGCTATATCACTAAACAGCACTTTCTTCCAGCTCGAGGGATATTCCAGTGGAGATACACAGCCAGGGTATAGGAGCTCCGCTACATAAGGCTTTCAATTCAACATTCACAAACAAATCAATATAATGTTAATAACATATTTATCATCGCGATCACAGAATGTACTAGGAATTTTTGTAAACTTTTTTTGGTTATGCATTTTAATATTATCTACTTATACATTATTAAAATATTTTGTGTTTTTAAAAAGTAACATAAACATCCATATATAATTCAATTCCACATAGACTTCAGCATAAGAATGACAAATACAACTTAATCGAAAATGTCACAGAATCAAATTTCATCTATACATTGTGCTAGCAGAATTGTTAGCAAATGTCTAGATTTCTCTAAAATGTTAAGAAAACAGCTCTTTCCCCCTCCTCTCAGTTCAGGGAAAATAGGCAGGCTCTGTGTGAGAGCAGCACCAGCAGCAGCAGCAGAACAGAGAGAGGAGAGAAACAGCCAGATTGATTTATTGCAGCAGCTTTGGGCAGGCAATCTGAGAATGGAGAGAAAGAACCTATGAGTTTTATTTACACAAAATCAACATCCTGGGATCCAGACCTGCCCTGCTACATTGTCTATCCTTTCTCCTCTGGCACCAGAAACAATGATTATTCTTGGTACTGTCTTGTCCTCTACCCACTAAACAGATAGCTCCTCATCTGACCCATTCATCTTGTAGGAAAAACTAAATTCATCTGAGTGCGCCCAGCACCATCTTTACAAAGACGCTTTTGGCTCACAGGCCCAAGTGATGAAGCTTTCAGCACATGTGTCCACAGACTCTGTAACCATGTCCCCCAAAATGCCAGAGACAACACTCCTGTTCAGGATGGCAAGAATAGCCAAAATGCTTTTTTCACTACAAGGACTGGTCTCCATCAACACATCATTTAACTTACAGTGAGAAATACAAAAAAGAGATGCAAGTATATGCAAATTGCCTAGTTTAAATAGTCTCACAACAATGGTAATAGAGTAGAACTTCAATAGCAGTGACACTCTCAGAAGACCTTCTTGATACACCAGGGGTTCCCAAAATATTTTTCACTTTAACATAATGCACTAACAACGTGGAACCCCAAAACAATTTTTGGCACCGTAGCGCAGATAGTAAACAGATAGTAGTACTTAAGAGCAGGTGTGCTTTTGTGTGTACAATTGGTGTTTGTATATAATGTTAGCGTTTTGATACAAGGTTATGTTTGTATGTAATATTTGCATTTGCGTGCAGGGATGTGCTTGGATGTAGTGTTAGCTTTTAAATGCGGATGCACATTTGTGTGTAGTATTAGTGTTTGAGTGAAACATGTGTTTGAGTGTTTGTACATAAATTTGAAATATGAATCCATGGGTTTTTGTATGTAATGTTTGTGTTTGCAGGAGTGTGTTTGCATGTTGTGTTGGTGTTTGATTGCTGGGATGTATGCACATATGATTGCTGTATGTATGCCACATACATACATACATACACAAACAAATTAACACACAGACACACATGTAAAATATGTGTACATACTCTTGTAAACTGTTTTTTCCCCACCACACATATAAAAACATTGACACATACACACACATTCATATACACACTGACAAATACACACAGATACAAAGATACACACCTTGACACATGCACAGACCTTGACACACAGATACACACTGGCACATACACACACACACACTCAGATACACACAGTGACACATACACAAACCTTGACACATAGATACACACACTGACACACACTCAGACACACATACTCTGACAGACACACATACACTCTCAGTGATAAGCACACATACACACACACTGACAAGCACACATGCACACTCACTGACAAGCACACATACACCCTCACTGACAAGCACACATACACACTCACTGCCAAACACACATACAGACACACTCACTGACAAACATACATACATACAAACTCCTTAACAGACACACAAACAATTTATTTATTTTTTTAAATTCCACTCCACTCGGCCTCCCTACCTTTGGAGTCTCTATTATCCTGGGGTCCAGTGGGGCTGCTGGGCTGAGCGGCTGGTGTGCATGATCATCCTGCTCAGCTCCCTCGTGCGCCTATTAGTGATTCTGGGGCCAGAGTTACGTCATATTCCGGCTCCGGCATCACTGCGGTGTGCGCGATGGAGCTGAGCAGGGGAGAGTGCTCCCTCTCCGCCCGCCTCAATTATAAGCGGAACCAGACCCGGCCAAATCACTTGGCCATTTTGTTGGACGAAATTATGTCGGAACCCCATTTGTGTTCTCGCGGAATCCCAGGGTTCTGCGGAACACCAATTGGGAAATGCTGTGTTACACCCTTGTTTAAATCCCCCTCCATTCCCATAGGTCAAAAGATAATAACCTTTCCTATGGGAACACAGCTGTGGGCATCACCCTCTCTCTATATTGCATAATTGTGTAATAGATGAGTGGTTACCAAGTAACAGAACCAAGAACCACGCAAGAACAATGCTCCATTTTGGGATATGCCACACATGTATGTTATTGAGCAATTCTGGTCACATGATGCTCTACTGCAAAATACTTCCCATGTGACCAAAGAAAGCAATCAGCAAAAATTAAGGAAGAATGTATGCATTCCACTGTGTCCATGTCATACTTACCTGTTCCTGGGGTCCCCGATCTACCGCGCCAATTGGTTCACATGAAGTGAAATTCCAGAATTTGGCTGTCGGCTGAATTCGGGTGTTTAGGCGCTCTACAGTGATGCAGACCAATGGGATCGGTTCCCTGGCTTTATAAATCAGGGCCTTTCAGTTGACCGAAGAGTGCGTTTTATATTGTATTTGGATTTCTTGTTACCGACTTTGGCTTGTTTATCGTTTCTCCGCTTTCTGTGTTCCTGACCTTGGCTTGTCTTACCGTTTATGCTGTACTCTCCTATGTTTGACCTTGGCTTTCTTCCTGACTACATTATGTTAAGTCCGGACATTCTAAGGCCCGATAATACGTTATACCTTTCGTTTAGCAGATTAGGGTCTGTGTGTTTTTGGGTTCTCCTACTTTAGCCATGACAGTCCACATTGAAGGGTCTGCCATGTTGCTGGTAATCTCCATGTTGATGTTCCAGGATCAAAATACCTTGTCCAAAGGTCCACAAACAAGCTATGAGATATCCCAATTAAACAATAAAAAATGTATATATAATTACTTTTGAAAAGGAAGAGATGTATGCATAAGAAATATATTTTAAAAATAGAATATTAAGCAAGTACTTTTTTCACTTTTCCTTGCATTGTGTATGAAAATATTTTAGAATAATCACTGTGTGAGCAGGCTCTTTTGATATAGAAACAGTTAAAATCACATCAGGCAGCAAGTTAATGACTAGGTGATTGACCCCTCTCTTTTCCAATTGACCTCATCCTTCAGTGCATATTCAAACATGGCATTTAACCATTTTTGTTTTCATGAGTTCATGCGTAGAAATTGTTGTTTTTTTTAAATCCTTTTGGCAACAAAGAACACTACATAATGTATCCATATACATGATATGTTCATAGATAACATCAAGCAGTACTTTAATTCTTCCCCACAACACAGAGGAGAGTGAAGGATCAGAGGGAACACAGGACATGTCTTGCCCCTCTGAATGATACAGTCGTATGGGCATTGTGTTGCTCTGGAGATTGTCCGTCCTGCTTATCTATGTCGTTGAACCTTGTGATTGACCAAAGCCCAGAATGAACAGGAACATGAAAGAGTCTACCACTGTTCTAAAAGAGCAGAAGAAAGACACTGAATAAGGAGTCTATAGAAATTAAAAAAATATATATATATATATAAAGGGGTGGAGGGTGAATTACACGTTTCACTTAAAATATAGTCTGATTGCTTGTCGTAGTGAATGCTTCAGTTTGAATAACAATATAATGTGATACAAATTTCTAAAAACAGTTTTGTTCTATGCAATAACAACTTATTGAAAAATTAATAATTGCGCAAAATATCTCAACACAAGGTGATACCCTTATCTATGGATAATCCATTCTAAAAATCAAATGTCAATGCCTACCCTATCCCTCACATGCCAAGGCATCCTCTAACTCTACATCAGTGCCAATCATTGTTAAGAGGGGGAGGTGACCCTTTAATAAACTCCTTTAATCCCCCCGCGGCTGCTGAATCTGCCTTCAGTCCCTGTGGACATCTGTGAAGATTTCACCAAGACTCGTTCTTATTTGCGATCTGCCTGCTTGTTTGAGCAGTCTCCTACTCACCCGCCCCCCCGCATAGTCACCACTACTAAAATCCCCAAAGCCTGGAGGATCTTACATCGGAGCTGATCCGTTTGTTTGTTCGCAGTTAAGTGCGGTTCTAGAAGACACTGCCAGGTAATTGAACTAATAGTGCTGGGGGCTCAATTTCATTAAACTAAATGTAAAAAAATAGGGTCAAAAGGCGGTGTTACCTTATTGTGTTGAAGAAATTAGTATTAGTCTGTTATGTTTGCCAAACTATATTGTGTAATAGAAATGCAGATTTGTGGAAGTGGCAGTATTAATTAGTGCTAATGTAGTTCTATAGGCCTCTTGAAGTTGAGAATACGAAATTTGTGGCTTTTGTATATGGAGAAAACTTGACGGCTTTGCACAATTTTTCAAAAAGAAAAAATGTAGAATTTCTGGGAAATTATCAGAGGAATCATACAGGTGTGAATGATGTTCTGTAATGCACTGGATAAGATGCGACCTGTGTATATGGTAACTATATACTTCACATGCAATGGTTCTAAAGAAATAAAATATGGGGGGAGGGGGTGGTTGGTCATGTTTCCTAAGGTTAAGATCAGATGATAAATGTATTCTCAGTCAGATTATTAAGATTAAAAAATGATGTACTATAAAGTAAATGTGTGAATTTCAATACACTGCAGGATTCCTAGAATTTTCCAGTTTAGAGGGAACATAGACAAAACATACTAGGACACATAAGGTTATTAACTAAAGTTAGAATTGTCGGGAATTCAGGCCAAAAATTGCAAGTTGGAAAAATTCTCCACATCAGCTTTGCTTCCATTTCACATATTTTCATCTATAATTTGGAATTCACTTTTAATCCCCAACAGTTGGCACTTCAGGGAATAACCCTGTGTGTTGGAAAATATTGCTAAAATTGAAGAATAGTCAAATCTGTTTGGATAAGGAGGATTTAGAAGAGGAATTGTTTGAAGAAGATCTTTCAGAGAAGTTTAAATGTCTGAAGGTCCTGTAGGTATTATTATCCATGTGATGAGGAACTTGCTTATGTGGCTCTGCTTAGCAACATCTTTAAAGGGATATCTATCTATCAACGCACAAACATGATTAATTTAAAGGTGTGTAAATATTGGCTCACAGTTGAACTTTTATATTAAAGGTGGGGAATCGTGCATAGCACAAATTATAGACAGGGAACACTGCCACGAGGTAGGTTCTCCATACCCATATTTAAATCTAATTCGTCAGCCACATGACAGAAATACAAAGCAACTATATTTTTATTTAGCTTCTTTTGAGACATCTGTACAGGGTAAACAAAATGATAGACAGTTATATGTGTGTATATGCACCATTTAAATCATATAAAATACAGTTTGATTCATTGTGCAAATTCCTGCTTTTTAAACATTTGTAAGTGATACAGATGACAATTCTAAATTCAATATTTATTAGATAAGAGTCTCTCAATGCAATCTGGTTAAATACTACCAACAGTCTTCAGATCCCACAATCAAGCTATCATTTATCCATATACATATTAGGGAGGTCATATCACTGCGTGATTAAGGTTATTTGTGTTAGCACTCAGCTAAGCCAACATCGAATTGCCAAAAAAGTAACAGAGCATCTAAGTACCAAAGGTTCTCATTGCAAAAATACATCTTCACTGCTTTCCAATTGAAGGCCTAGTAAAAAAAAACCCCACCAGATTATTCTCAATGTGCAAAAATAGAAAATGGAGATAAATGTATCGTGGCAGGCTTATGCAATATAAGATCCTATACTGTAGCTAAACCCCCATTATTTTGTCACGTGTTTTATTAAAAGTACTATAACATTCTGTGAGCTTTGAAGTTACTGTTTAGTGAGTGAGTGCGCTGTATCTTGTATGTTATATATATATAGAAATATATATATACTTCTGGGCGTTATAATTCTATGATCACATACACACACGTGTTTAAATTAGAGGCAGTGAGAATGTTGAATTATATCATCCGACAATAATTTAAATGATGTAAATTGCACGGATGCAAACCTAAGACTTAGAACGTCTTTCCAGCTCGGAGTTAAAAGTCTGGCATCTCTCTAAGATCTATCACTGCTTGACTTCATTGATCCCCACAGAAGTGTCTCCTTTTGGAAGCCTACCATATAGTTGTTTGCTGAATTGTGACAAGTAAGAAACTCTGCTAATCCCCCAACTAGAGCAGATCTTGGCATAAGGAGATTAACGGGGATGCCATGAGCTAGCCGCAACAGAATAATTTTCTACACCAGAATCCCTGACCCACCCCGATCCAGGGACATAGGGGATAGTACGGTAGCATCGAGACAAGAATCCGGATATAGGGTAAGATTGATTTGTGCCTGTGAGGCATTACCTAATTAGTGTGATCAGCCTACGTAAATTCAAGTCTATTTTATTTATATAAGGCCATTATTAATGTTTACATTTAGAAAACTTGATTTGTTATCACTCAGTACTTTGCGCAAAATATATATAATTTTTTTAGTGTCTTACGGAACCCTTCATTAATCACTCCCATAATTCTCTTAATTAGACATGCGGCGATTTAATAATCAAAAAATGCTGCAATGATAAACTCGATCTGCTTGTGTGTGGAGTGCCGTGCACATCATAAGTAACCTATATCAGTTGTCTGTATAGCACCCTTGAACGTACAAGGGTGAAAATAGCTTAATTCATGACAAAGCATGACTTAAAGGGACACTCTGGTCAAAGTAGGTGCCCCCTAAATAGTTGTGTGTTATTCTCACCATCCATCTAAGAATAAAAAATTATGTCTGACTCCTGGGCATACCTCTCTAAGTTTGGTTTGCTGGTGGCCTGGTCCATACCAGGGTCACGATCACATCCTTATTTGCTGTAGTTGAGAAGGCTGTGTGCTCCTGCCATCCCCAATATTAAAGATCCGGAATTTTGGAGTAGCGTGCTGGAACTTCAATGATGAGGTGGGCTGATGGTGTCACTGGTTCTTTTGGATCATAACCCATGATTTTGTTTAAAAAGGTGTCTTTAAATCAGTATCCATGGCTAAGGAAAACTGCCAAAATGCAGAGTGAATCTTGAAACACCTTGACTGTCTGTGTATGCCAGGCTGTGAATTCTGGGATAGTTGTAAAAACATGATTTGTCCTGTTTCTGTGCCTAAGCGTCAACGTCCAACTTGAGATATACAGGTGATGTACAACATAATATATACATAGAGATGAGATACTCTAGTAGTGTTACTCACGTATCTATCAACTTGATTTCCAATCAGGACAAAGGATGTTCCTAGGCAAGTGTGATGGAGACCTCTGTGACCTGAGAGGAGACAGCACCCCAACTCCTGGGCCTCCAGACGGAGAGGATGATGACCTTCCTAAAAAGAAGCATCGCAGGAACCGTACAACCTTCACCACCTACCAGCTCCATGAGCTAGAACGGGCCTTTGAGCGTTCTCACTACCCTGACGTGTACAGTCGAGAAGAACTTGCAATGAAAGTCAGCTTGCCAGAGGTTCGAGTGCAGGTAAGACCAAAATAGCAGCAAAAAGATACCAAGCAACTATTCCATCAATAAACTACCAATCTGAGTTCTCTGTGCCACAAGCAGTTCTTCCCTCTCTTTCACCCTGTCCTGCCTCCTCAATTTCAAACACATTATTAGGATCCATCCATTTTTAATCAACATGCCACAAAAACTCTAATTGATTCCCTAATTTCTTGTCTTTTGTGTTGCAACCTCTGTACTCAGCTGACTAGTTCATTTTTCTATACATTATACAGATTAAAGGGACATTACAAATGTAAGAGATTGGGCTCCTTGCCAAGGACAACAATCTGGCTTTTACAATGTGCCTTATAAATGCAGCAAGTTGCAAACCTCTCGGCAGTTATAGGTCTTCACCATTACTAAAATTTATTTTGGATGGTTCATCCCCATCAAATGCCTTTTAATCAGCACCAGACAAATTGATTGTCCGGGTTGTACCTGTGGTCTTGGGGCATAATCAACGGTGCCTGAGGGACCCTCAGTTTGTGTCACACTATTGAAGAATAGTTTGACCCAGGACTGAAAGATATCACTAGGAGTATGCTGGCAACATATGGAACCAGTGATTATGGTGCCTAAAATGCCCCTTGAAGGGAGTTGTAGTTTTGCTCTCTGAAAAGTAGCCTTACAATACAGGGGCATCTGGGTTACGCTTAGCAACTTCTTGATTTGGTGAGCATAAGTTGCACAGCATGTTGATTTGTAACAAATAATAATAATGAAAAATGAAAAAATTGTTTTTTATAAAAAAATATTTTTATATATCATTATTCATCTACATAATACACAACAATAAAGGTTACATTTCCATAATTCTACGTCAGCGTTGTCTAAGGTCCATAGGGCATACTAGTAATTCCACTAAATAATACCCAGTATCACAATGCCTACATAGTTCTCCTATTTTCACTAGAGCTCTAATGTGCCACACAAGAAACCTGTAACGGCACCTGTAAATATGTCCACCTATATTCGGCCTTGTATAACTACTCACACCTGATAGATACTTTTACATTTTACAGTATTACAATATGACGATGAAAACAATGATTCTACTGGAATTTTTACAGTACACAAAAATAGTTTTCATTGCAAACACTGGTGAAAATCAGTTTTCAAGCCTTTCCACAAATGGTCAACAGAATTAAAACCTGGGCTTTGAGATGGCCATTCAAACTTCAGATTCTTGGCTTTAAACCATGTCAGCGTGTTTAAGGTTATTATCCTGCAGGAAACAAATCATTTTCCCAGTCATATGTGTGTCTGGCATATAGAGTTGGCCCACTTGAACTGCTTTATCCACTTTTCCGTTCTTGGAATGTAAAAATTTTTTTTGAAGGTCAAAACATCTGTTTTGGTCTCATCAGACCACACAAACCATATGTGGTTTCAATAGAGCAAACACTTTTCTATTGCAAATTCTACCTGTGTAATTCCCTGTCTCGCCGAGATACTTGTAAGAGCCACACTAAGTTTGGCTTCATCTTTGCTGTGTCTACCATATACATTTTGGGAAACTCCAAATGAGAAATGGCTTTCTTCTTGCCATCTTGTGACATTCATTAAGCTTTGTTGAGAATATACATTATAATCATGCTCTGGACAGTTTCTCTTATCTCAGCTGCAATGCTTAACTGCATCTTTAAATAATGCACTGCATTATCCATTCTTATTTTCAATTGATGGGCACTCCTAGGCAGTCAGGGTTATGCCAAATCCTTTCCAAAAGTAATGGGACACTTTAGCATCCAAACCTATGCTTCCCAGAACTTTATCTGTTGCTGTTTAAAGGGTTACTCCAACTATTATAAACACCGCAGCCTGATCTAGTAGTTATGATGTTAGGAGTACCCTTGCACAGTCCCAGTAATAAAGCAAACCGTTTTACAACGGTTTGCCTGGTACACCAGGCGCCAGGGCTACTCTGAGGAAGGGTTTACATCATCCAGCTTCTACAGAGCAGTAGAAGTTGGATGCCAAACATGTTACTCATCTATTGACTGGCTGATGAAACCCCAATGATGCTGCCGGTGGTGGAGTTATACCGCGGCAGCAGAGGGGTTAAGCTTGGTATGCACAGCATTTCTAAAGCGAGACACTGAAGTGGTCACGTTGCTTGGAGTAACCCTTTATTATATCTCCTATTTATTTAGCACGGTGGAATATTAGCTCAATATAAATAAATAAATGTTGACAATAGAGAGCTTTGTATTTACAAGGGTCGTATACAATTGATGTATTAATAGGTGGCATTGGCAGATACAATGGTTGATTTTGCAAGCATAATTATTGCATTGTTTTCTCCTGTGGGGTGGTTGAAAATGTTGGCAAAACAAAGTTTGGAATGTTAGCTAAACAATATACAACTCATGGAGGCCTTTTACCTAAAGATTAATCTTTAAAGAAGAAAAAAAAAGGGTTAGCTAACAAAAAATACTAGCAAGTGTTTTTAAATATCTATTTTGTACAATAAAGATATCTTAATGATAGAATAAAAAAATACCTGTAAAACGCAAGTCATTTCAGCCTGAAAATGCCTCCTGTATGTTATATGTAAAATAGGGTCCACTTTTAATCTTCACTTTATGGAGCACTTGTAGCACTTAAGCACTTATTGGGTGTGTAGCACCCTTCTTTCTTAGATTTTTCTCTATTTTTTCTTTTTTTAAAGTAATTGAGATGGAATGTATAAACATGGGGTACTTGCATAGAACACCCTCGAAGGTGTTTGCATAGGAGATTTAGGGACTAGCAGCTAGGGCACCTTTGTGGTTATTTGACCAATTTGGCTCTGCATGTAAACCTGTCCCATCATCTCATCTCTACCTTTATGGGACATCTGCTAAATACCTACACAAAGGGGATATGGACATTTCTAAATGCTGCATAAATAGATTGGAGGGAGCATATATACTCACCTCACTTGAATGCTTTTGGATTATTTTTTAGCAATTGATTTCCTACCATCACCTCTCTGTCTTGGCTAAATACATGGCTGCCTTGCTTTTTACCGGTCTCTTGCTTCTAAAACTAACCCGTATTTATCCTGTTTATTTAGGATTTATCAACCATCATTGGGACCTACCATATCCCCAATAGTATTTGGCTGCTTTTTGATGCCAGTAAACTAGAAGGGAATGGGGCTGTAACTACCATAACCACTTATACACTTGCTTCCCAGCCCAGTGCCTTTTTGTTTTCTTGATTTTCCTGTTTTATCCAATAAAGTATTTTTCCATTAGATGCTACTGGTACTTAAGGCTGTGGACAACTGTAGTAGTACCACACTAGACAGATCTCTAAGCTAGCTATTAATAGCTGTAATTTTTTATATTTTTTTTTCCCCTTTTCAATATACCAGTACTGAGTCTCCCCTTGATTGGGGTGTATTCAACTTTGATTTATACGTAACGTTATCTTGGGTCCAAGCGCACTTGGTGGAGCTGGTACCACTGTACTGACCTCTATGTTCCTAACCCATTAATTGGGATTAGGTTACATAGCGTTATTTCTACTTACGATTTAATATATATAAAATAGTACTAAAAAGTTATATGATTTAGGAAGATGGTTTGTGTACTGTGCAATGTATATTCTTTGCAGAGAAAAAAAGCCCAACAGATAAACCCTGCTAACGCATGTTCAAGAAAAATCATTTAAAAATATGCTGCACACAACATATAGCTTATTCTCTTCCATTGAGTTTTGTTTTTTATATCCGTTGATCCGTCTGCTTTTGGTCACAAGAAGTATATTTCCCTTTTTCTAGGTAAAAATAGTAGATTTTACTGGAAAAAACCTTTACATTAACAAAAAATATACTGGAAATTTAACTTCCTTTAACATTTTAAACAATCTGACGACCTTTTAATATTAAAGAGTATTTAAACATACATTTTAATCTTACTTATTTTATTAAACTCAAATCTTTTTTTAAATAATTTGCTAAATAAATAGCAGTAATAAACAACTCTTTGGATTGTAAAAAACAAATAGGTTTCTCTGTTTATCATTCAAAATCAACACCCTTCTCCTTGCTCCACATACACTCTTTCAACCCCACCTACTATTCTCCTTCAAAAATCTCTGAGAGCATATAATCCTCATGTAGCCCTACTTATTGTGCCACTTAAGCATTGCTTTTCCAACTCCCCAAGAAAAGGCTCCTTAATGTTCTAAATGCCGCTCATTATCCCTGCCTAGTTGCATATGCTTTGCACCTTTTCTCTGCTAATCCACAACTTGAACTATCCAATTAGTGAGCACATCGAGCCGTTAATGGAATCAACGTTAGCTGGGATCTGGTCTCGGAAAAGCCAATTGCATTTATCTTAATGCTACAGATTTCTCTCCCTTAGTAACACCTGTTTACGTCTTTATTGAATGACAATTATTTTATTTCTTGCTTGATTTAGGTTTGGTTCCAAAACAGACGTGCAAAATGGAGGCGCCAGGAAAAGCTGGAGTCCTCTACTACCAAGCTCCATGACTCCCCACTGCTGTCATTCTCACGGACCCCTATAACTACAAGTATGGGGCCTCTGACGTCCTCCCTACCTTTGGATCCCTGGCTCACATCACCAATATCTGGTGCTACGACTGTCCACAGCATGCCTGGATTTATGGCCCCTTCACAGGCACTCCAGGCCCCTTATCCAAGCCACTCGTTCCTTAACAGTGGCCCTCCAATGACATCTATTCAGCCTCTCAGCAGTGGTCCTTACCAGTGTATGGGGGGCTTTGTGGACAAGTTTCCAATGGAGGAGTTGGACCAAAGAAGTTCCAGCATTGCAGCATTGCGTATGAAAGCCAAGGAGCACATCCAGACCATAGATAAGACATGGCAACCTATGTGACATACAATACTTCTTTGGATGGATACTTTGAACTAAGGCAGACTTTTTACATGAGGCTGAAATTATATGGGACTAGGCTTTGATGGCTGCTTTCTACAAAAATGTTGAGAGATGTTAGTTTGACCTTGGGATCTGCAATATGCACAGAGTGATGATTCCAATACTTGATTCAGAATATCTAGTTTAAGAAAGGTCATTTGTTCTAAAAAAATAAAATAAAAACAAAATTTAAGCCCAGCTCGAGTTTGCGTAGGTCTTGCAGAAATAAAACGGATTTAATAAAGGTGCAGGCTTTAATTGAATTGAATGATTTAATTGAAGAAAAAAACAAGATACTGAATAGTTAACCTTTTATTTTTGGGTTGGTATAATATGCTTCAGTTGAGTTCCGAGAGTTCTATTATTATATGTTAGAAATGAAATATTCTTCCTTGTAAAAATAATTCTAGATCTCTTAATGATGTTATTGCCAACAATGGTCTTGCCTTGCTAAAGGCCCAAATCAAATTGTTCAGTACAGCTTTGTAAATTTGGACAAGAATTTAAATTTTTATTTTTTTTCCCCATAAAAGTCACACATAGTATAAAGGACACAGTTTCCTTTTAATTCTAAACAGCATGTCAAAAATACATCATGATATTTTTGTATACACAATTTTCTACTCATATTTTAAATCTTATTAATACGATTCCATTAATTATTTTGAGGTTTTTGGTTTTTTTTACTTAGCGTTGTCTTGACTATTAACTCACTCCTACCGCAACCTGCAGCAAATTTAAACTGTGGTCACTCCCTATACAAAGACCATCCTATACAACAAACTGCTCTGTCACAAACAATCTGCTCTGCAATCAGTCACTTAGAAGGGGCAAGTTCTGCTTGGTCACACAAGATCTTCTAATTGCTACAAAGTGTTCATCATAAATGCAGTCACCAGCTGCATTGAAAAAGGCAGAGCAGTGACACACATACAAGACTCACTGGGGGAAGAAAAAAAACCCTGCTAAAACAGGCAATGCTAAGTATGATACAAGATAGTTGTGTCACCAGTGCGAGAGTAAGTAGACTCTAAACGAGGGGAGATTAGTGACCCCACCCTATTGAGCTTTAACACAGTGGAATTAATTAAGCTTGAACAGTAAAACAGTAGGGGGTATGGGTACAATGTAGGTCCCACACCACAGACAGCAAGGGGACATTCCAGGTCTTGAGGCACGCAAATCTTGAACTTTAAATAAACATGTGAACAATTATAGAAAACGTAAAACATACACACAATCACAAATTGTTTAGGCATATTTCAGACATTTCCAGGTTCAATCCAAAAATTAACTGCACAAGAATTCCTGATTTGCAAAGTAAAAAATAATTTATTTGGGTTCGTCTAAAGAGGACAGGAGGACCCACTGCAGAAAACAGCAAGTGCCAGTGATGACAGCGGAATAGTGTCTTTCAAACCTCGTGTCTACCAATCAAAATTTTTTGTTCTTGGCAAGTCTGTTGTTCCTCCACATGTGCAACTTGCGGAGCAGCCTCCAATACGGAGGTGTGTCTGGACTCAGCTCTTCCAATGTTTTCGGTGGTCCTAGATCTATCTGGAATAACCTGTGTTTTCAAATCAGAAAGAAAATATCAAAATGCATGTAATGATACACTAAAACTATTAATAATATTAAAACAGGTTTACTTCAACTAAAGAGCATTTGAATATACAATTACTAAGAGACCAGTGCTGGAAATCATACCCTAGAACTATAGAAGTTAAAAGAACGCTCCAATGAACGGTTTATTATTGTTGAACAATTTAGTAAACACCCAAAGAAAACATTGTTTTCTTTAATGAAGATTTTCTTTGAAAAAACAAACAAAAAAAACATTGTGCAAAATCTGCAGACCATTGCTTCTTTCTCAGACAAAGACTTTCAGTCTGTGCCGGGAAGACTCCAATTGGTGGCTTCTTATTGAGAAGCATCTTGTGCTTGAGCTGTGACCGCTCACACACCTGCAATCGCAGTTTTCCTGTGCTTCCCAATGAGCTATGAAACATCTCATGGAGTAGGGGGACAGAGCACCTGCCTCTTACGTTAGCTATGTGGAGCTAATGTAAGCAGAAAAAAATATATATATCTCTCGAGTGGTCTAACTCATAACTGGGGAGACATTTCAGCAAAGTTTTATAAAAGTTCTTTTATAAAAAACGGTCACAAATGTGATAGCAAGAAATGTACCAGGAAACAAACGACCCCGCACTCTGGTTCAGCCTATCGATCTGGCCGCTCTCCCAGGAGGCGCTCCACAGAACTGACACCACTAATCCATCCCAGCACCAAGAAAATAGAAAACCGGGCAGCACTCCAGTATACAAGTGGTCTCAGTTTATATAGAGGGTAAGTAACCTTAGTAGTGCAACATTTCGGCTCTTTAGAGCCTAAATCATGCATGATGAAGGCTCTAAGGAGACTAAACGTTGCACTACTGAGGTTGCTTATGCTCTAATAAACTGAGACCACTTGTATCCTGGAGTGCTGTCCATTTTTCGATTTTTCTTGAAGCGTTTTGTGTGTCTGGAGTGTTCCTTTAATGTGAACAAAAGCCAAAAAAAAAAAAAATATGCTCAAGGTTCCCTACATTAAAGGCTAAACATGACCAATTCATCAACCCACCATGTTGGGTGTCATATGTTATAGACAAGTATATATCCCCATGGCTTAGGTCTCCTTTTTATAAACCTTATACATTCACAAAATATAATTTTGGTGTGCATATTACTCTGAATATTATAGAATACAATAGTAAGTATACCTAAAACATCTTAAACAATTCCATCTGTAATATCTTAAAAAGGACAAATCCAAGCACCATAACCACAAATTTGTGCTATTGTGGTTATGGTGCCAGGAGTGTCCTGCCCCCTCCCGCCCATTGTAAAAAAAATAAAAAAAAAATAAAAAAAAAATATCAAACCATTTTAGAACAGTTTAACTTCTGGTTCGGAATTGCTGGGCACCACTCAAAACTTCCAATACTTCTTACGAAAAGCCGGAAGTTCTCTATATGGCTTAGCTCATTGGCTAAGAGTGATCAGCTGAAACTCTCCAATGAGCTAGCCTTACACTGCAGAGGTTAGCTCACAAGAGTTAACTGAAACTCATGCTTAAGAACTTCCAGCTCTCCATATGAAGTGGTGGGGCGGAGGGGAGGGGATGGGATGCAATTATATTGATCTTTGTTCTAAGACAGTTTTCCTTACAACTGGACAGTGTGTGTGTGTGGGGGGGGGGGTGTAGTGGTTATGGTGCCTGGAGTGTTTTTTTAAGCAAATCCTTATTTCTATCCAGAAATAACAAAAATGTCAGCATCTAAAACCTAACTCACCATTCAGGATATTCAGAGTCATCTTTTAATTTCACTTCTGGCCCAGTTTTGTAAATATTGACCCCCATAGCATGTGTAGTCAAGATTGCTGGGTCTTTGCAAATTTCAGGTCCTTTCAGAACTTCTTTGGAAATTCCTTTCCCCTTCCCCTTCACAACTGGAAGAAAAAAAAAGTCAAAACAATGTAATTTTCAGGTATACCTCTCTAACACTACAACATTCATCATAAACAGACCTGAGGCGAAACTTTCATTAGGATAGGTTTTTTTTTAAAGAGACATGTACAAAGTACTGTTCTACTGTTTTCCAAAGAGGCATGTACAAACATACTGTGACTGCATTTATTTAGAGATGACCAACACTCATCCTTTCTACATTCTACACGCCAAAGTTGAAATGAGTCATTTCCACTTGCCAGTCCACAGTGCCCTTCTAGTTGAAAAGATGCAGATATCAATGATTGATAAACACAGAGTTGCATTAAATGTTGCAGACAAAGGTGTGTAGAGTACTCTATTAAATCCCCAAAATCTTGGAAAACAATTAAATCCGGATCTGCTTTCATAAACCATACATAAAAAATAGACACAAAACAATTGTGTAGCTCTAACAGCATAAACCATCTAATTACTTGAGACAGAGCAAATTTGTCTCTTGATAAAGGTATGTCAGGTTAAACAATGAAGTTTCTCTGCAAAAAGTAGGACTTGTTTCTAGTCCCTTAGCTAGAGCTGTCTGGTGTGTGTGATTTCTCATCCAACAGTGTAATGACAGTAGCAGGAACAGTATGAGTGGCTTACTAAATCAATGGATATTATGGATACAGGAAGTGGACATATACTAAGGACAGGCTGGTCTGCCTTAATACAGGGCTGAAAATAAATTAAAAAAAGAAGAAATTCACTTGCTACCCCTTCATAACAATGTTATCAGTATCTATGATCAGCTGAGTGGACTAGCAGTGACAAGGAACATGTAGGATGATTGCCCCAATAGAAAGAAAGAAAAAAAAATGATTGGCTTTAATGTAAAGTTGAGATGCAATTATTGTAATTGAATGAGTGAAGAATTAAAAATGATTTAAATTAGAATTTGAGTCCTGATGAACCCATAGTTCCTGTAACATTTTGTAATAGCCTCACTCTCTTATAATACTGTAACGCTCTGCAGAAGACATTGGCCCTAATTATTGTAAAAATAATAACCAATACTGGTTAGCATGCATTTGAAGACGAAGGAGTCTATTCTAGAACAACACACGCTGGCTTTAAATTGCAGAGGCACCTGGCACTGCATTTTATCACTGCCACTCATCTACCAGGAGCATGGAAATAGCATCTAGGTCTGTAGTAAATGGGATGCTTGAGAGGTCATGGCCATCTTGGCGATACCGGACTTCCTTGTTGAGCTCTTTTACAAGGGAAGCCCTTGGTATCATGTAACTGGAAGAGCACTGACAGATCAATTTAAGTGTGGGGTGTGGGGCTTGTATAGTTATGCATTAAGAATTTATTTTAATGAAATAGGTTTGTCCCCCTGTTTAGTTTTTATTACTTTTTCCCATTGGTCAACATAATATCCTGTACAAATACAGACATTAACAGTTAAAAGGTAGGCCTACATTCAAGGTCAACCTTACATTAAAGATTACATGCGTAGTAGGACAGTTGTTGTGGCTGACATTCCTAAAAGTTGTGTTTTTTTTTTTTTTGTTAGTTAACTGGTTACCATAGCATTCTCTTACTAAACCTCTTCTTTCTTTCACCTTTCTATCTCTTTTTTTTTTTGGGGGGGGTGGTCTTTAACTTAAACAGTTTGTTCGTTTTATTTTTTTCACATTCTTTTGTGGAAAGTTTTCAATATTAAAATTTAATTTTTAAAACATTAACACAATGTGTTTAAGAAACATTAAAATTTACATAACAAGGTTGAATGTTTTTTTATTTTTTTTTTAAATGGAAACCTGTTTTAAATAATTATAAACAGGTTTTGTGTTACTGTATGTGTGTTATTGTATGTGTGTTACTGTATGCATGTGTGTTACTGTATGTGTGCTACTGTATGTGTTTTATTGTATGTGTGTTATTGTATGTGTGTTACTGTATGTGTTTTATTGTATGTGTGCTACTGTATGTGTTTTATTGTGTGTGTTACTGTATGTGTGTTACTGTGTGTGTGTTACTGTATGTGTGTGTTACTGTATGTGTGTGTTACTGTATGTGTGTTACTGTGTGTGTGTGTTATTGTATGCCCCCGCAGGGCTGCTCACATGCTCACACCCGGACCGGATTCTTTAATTTTAGGATTTTCAGGCTGCCCTCCCATGACCTGCCTGAGATGTCATTGGTCCTTGAAGGGCTAAAGTGGGGCCAGCGGCCAATGCATGGCGGTCAGACCACGGGATACAGAATATCACGGGAGACTTTCCCTCCTCACCCGCTTTCTTGGCGTAACTCCTCGCCGGTGCCCACCGGGGGCGAGACAGGCCCACCGCAGCCCTCCACAGCGCTCTGCAGGCAGCCATCACACCACACGTGCGGGCACTTCCGGGTCACGCTGCCACGCACGGCGCACGGCACGCCGGGACATGTAGTTCAATCTGCCACCGTGGCGCCTCCCTTCCAGCCCTCTCAGACACTTTGACAAGTTGGCTGCTGGGGTATTTAGGTGGGAGCCAGTCACTCTATACAAGTGGGCCTTTAAACAGAAATTACTAATAACCCACCCCTCTCTGCCCCCCCCTTTATACACCCACCCCCCTTTATTCTTGTTATTGCTACTGAAAAGTACCAGCACCCCCCTTATATTCCCTCTCCCCCCCTCCCCAATTCGACAACATGGCTGAGCAGCTGCTGGGACTGTGTGAGTACCTGGGAGGGAAGGGGTGCAGCCTGGGCATGAGGCATTCATGGGGAGGGAAGGGTTAAAATGGCAGGGGTATTGTCTTGATACTCTTATTTTATATATCTGATACTTTGTATATTTTTATATATATATATATATACACACACACACACACACTGTTTAAGACCAGTCCATGCCATGCACTCCTACCAGAGTTTTTACTAATAGACGAATAAGCATCATGGTAGTTATAGTCCATAATAGGGAAAGGGTAGTATATTTCTAGTTGTAGGTGGGGTAATTAAATAGGAACGTGTTTATAGGATGTGTAGTAAATTAGAATTGTGTCATGGATATTATGAATATACGATATTATGAATATAACAATAATCCCCGGCTTTTTTTTTTTCTCTCTCTAGGGTAAATGTTTCTCTGTTTGGATCACCATCATTGTGGATAACGGAATGGAATTCCAGGTGCCAGTGCTTAGCCCTGCTTCTGGTTCTATAAGGATGCCCACTGACCACCCACAGGTTGACATGGAAAATTCGGACAGATTACTTTCAGAGCCACCCCAGGCTTGTGCTAATGCCTGCCAGAATTTATGTCATGGTCCGGTGGAATCGGCCTTTGGTGACACTTTGGGTAGGGCACCACCTCGTGTTGACAGTTGCCCTGATATGGACACAAGGCCTCCGCTCACCCCAGATTTAATTTGTATGGATTTAGATACGCAGCTGGAGGATGCTGGGCACGGGTACACCTTTCATATGCAGGAGCTACTAAGTGAGCTGCCCATGTTGGACCACCAAAAAGAACAAGCAGAGCTTGGCTTGCCAAATGCCAGTCATTGTAAAGAGACACTCCATGGGGATGCAGAACCCAAGGATAGCCACACTGAGTGTGCACCGTGCCCATTACACATAGTCACAGGAAAAGGCCTAGCACAAGGTGTTCCCCATTTATCTGAATCAAGCACTATGTCTTCCAGTAGTCTGGGTCTTTTTCGGACAGAATCTGCCTCTGGGGAACTGATGAGCCTCTTTCAGTGTGAAGACGGATCCTTGGCACAAGGAGAAATGGGCATACCTCTAGCCAGACTTGAATCTGTGCCAAGGAATCAGCCGCCTAGCCTTCATTCTTTGCAAGATCAAGCACGTGATTGTTTAGGGTGGAATGAAGAAGAAACCTCCTCTTCATCCGAGCTTAGTAGAGAGGATTCATCTTGTAGCCTAGCAGAGTTGACTGAACCAGCTTGGACAGAGTACCGGAAACCACCACCTTCTCTACAGGAAAGTGAGGAAGATCAGAATATAGAGGTACGTAAACTCAAGATTTCTGTATTGTTTTTTTTTAAATTATAAAGGGATGTATGTTCCATGCTGGACTTCGTGAGGCATTATGTAGATAATGACTAAAAATACTAGGCAAAACAAGAAATCCCTACATTTGCTGCAAATCCATAGTCTTTGCATCGTATGAAGTGAGCCCTTTCCAGATCAGGAAATGGTGCAGCCAGTACGAATTTGGCTCATCCTATCAGGATGCGGCCATTATTTACAGTGGGACCTAAACATAAGACATGTCAGCGTTTGACAACAATGTAATTATTTAGATTTCAGGAACAAAACCGCTGAACCATGACCGCGGTGGTTAGGTAGCTGTGACACCTTCATTCACAGTGTCTGGAAAAAGCAGTGCTTATGGTCTTTTATAGTATGTTGTAAAAGAGACTGTCAAGGAGGTGCGAACTTGTGTATATTGTACAGACCATATAAATATATAATTGAATCGAGTTGTCTTATTGCTGCAGTTATTTTCAAAAGCAGTCATGTGCAGGAGACATAGATTGGGATCCTCCTTCCACCATAACCTATGACAAAAAAAGCAAAGGTTGTTATGGTGCTTCTTTAATAGCAAGTTAGAGGCAAAAAAAGAAAGCCTCTAATCTCCACTTTTCTCATAAAAAATGCACAACCTTTGGGGTGAGTGGTTTCCTCCTGCACCAGACAGCTTTTTGTGAGGAGAGTTGTGGATATTCATGACTACTGAATTCACTATTAATTGAATTCTATGTGCTTGTAATTTTTTTAAAATTTATTTTTTATAAATCTTTCTGCTTATAAAATAGAAAACTACAGGTCAGGCTTATATGTTAGTTTTTTTTTTTTTCTCAGTGTAATTCAATCTTTGTTAATATACGTTTGCATACAATTACATTTCATTAAATGGAAATTGTAGGTAATGCAGGGCTTGACAAATTTCTTTAGAATCTAAGAGCCAGCCAAAAAAGTTTGGAGCCACTCATTTTCAAAGAGAAAATGCAATTCTTAAAGGGACACTATAGTCACCATAACCACTACAGCTTGATGTAGTTGTTCTGGTGTCTATAGCCTGTTCCTGCGGGCGTTTCAGAGAAAAGGCAGAGTTTACATTGCTGCTTAGTAACCCGTCTAGTGACAGTCACTCAGACGGCCACTACATAGTTCTGGGTCACTGCTGTATCATGTGCAGCACCCAGGTTCAGTGTCTCCAAGGTGTGCATGGAGCCGCTGAATGTGCCTCATAGAGATTCATTAATTTAATGCAACTCTATGAGGAGATGCGGATTGGTACATTTGCTACGCATGCATACAATCCTTTCAATGCTTTCCTAAGGGAAAGCATTGGCTTAGCTGAGATCATAAAGATTGATAATCTCAGCCATGGCGAAACTGGCACGACGTTGTAAAATAAGAAAAAGGTGAGCAAAAACGCCTTCCTCATGCGATCGGAGGGGGCAGGTACCTAAACGCGCACGCAAACTCTGATAGGCTCTCATATATGCACTCTGACAGGCTCACATACACACTCACGTTGACAACAGGCTTGCACACACAAACATTTGACAGGCTCACACGCACAAACTCTGACAGGCGCTCTCGCTCACACACACAAAAACACACACTCTGACAGGCTGCACACACACACACACACTTACATTTTTGTTTTAATTGAAACCCACTCAGCCTCCCTACCTTTGGGAGAGCTGAGTGGGTCTTTCCTGGGGTCCAGTGGGGTTGCTCCCTTTCTGTGTGCAAAGGAGCAGTACTCTGCCTGTAGCTCCTCTTTGCTCCCTTGTGCTCTGTAATGATGCCGGGGCCGTAATGACATCATATTCCGGCATCATTAGACAGCGTGAGGATGCCTCCAGGCAATCAGAGGGATGGCAGACAGCTTTAACTGTGAGTACCCGCTCTTTTGTCATATATAAAGCTGAAAATTGTTTTTTATAACTATGTCCTGATGAAAGCTATGTACAAGAGCTGAAACGTTGACCGTTTGGAACAGTAAGAACAAAGAACTTTTTTTTTTTTTTTATTACCAAATCCTGGAGTGCCAGTACTTCTTTCAAAATGTATACTTTGTGACCAAAGCACCAGGTATTTATTTTGTTAAAGTTGGAGTGCAGGAGCTTTAGATTTATAGAGGTAGATATAGAGATTTGGGTCTGTATGGACAGTTTCATAGGATGTGGGTTTGAGAGCCGCATAGATACAATGTATGTAGCATTACTAGTATGTTGCAGAGTTCTCATCCTCTTATTGTTCTTTAACATTTTGTTATTGTGTAATTTATTGTTACATGTTTTACAAGTTGGCTCTATATAAATGCCTATTATAATAATAGTAATGTGGTCTTTAAAAAAAAAAAAAAAAATGGTCAAAATTTGATGTAGCTAGCTGAGTGACAGGAGAAGGAGGTGGCCTTACACACAGAATAAAATGTGATACAAATGGCAATGTTTCTAGCCAGTAATGAACAGTCATTTTTTGCCAATATCCAACACTGCTTCCTCCCCTCGTCTGTCAATCAATTCTTTGAATAGAGGGCAAAGCAGATGGCAGCCTTCTAACTGAAATTGAGTGACAGGGTAGAGCAAGAAAACCATCCTACGGTCTGGTGTCCATCACAGCAAGTGCAGTGCATGCTCTGTAGTTGCAGCGATAATCTTCTGTAGGAACAAAATGACTCTGGTCTGATGCAGATTCACTCCCAATGAAGCCACTGTATCAGTGTACCTAAGGCAGAGATAGGCTACCTTCGACACTCAAGGTGTTGTGGACTACATTTCACATGATGCTTTGCCAGCATTATGGCTGTAAGGGCATTATGGAAGATTTAGTCCACAACATCTGGAGTGCTGAAGATTGCCTACCCCATACCTAAGGCGTTGTGCTTCCAAGCAGGATCAGTCACTTGACACGGGAGTGAGATACAGGCAGGAGGTAGTGGTATGTGTTATTTGAGAGCCATATTCAAATTTGGAATCATTCATTGGTTGAGCATGACATTCTCATTCAATGAAATAAGACGCAATAGGGGAAAAATTATATTGTTACGACGGAATGGGAACTTTCAATATATTGCAGAAGTCTGGAAGACTTATTGGTGCCTGAGAAAACCAGATAAGTCATACTGTTCATAAATTATTTGACTGCTTACCATGGGATACGACAAGAGAATCATGGCATGATAACTACTACAGTGCTTTCAATGATTCTTGGTAAGATTATTTTCATACTGCACAAACAATATAAGTGATAACTTGTATATAGTGGTGGAGCGCTTAAATAGTGCAAACAAATTTTAGTCTGCTTACCCTTATATTAGGGTGCATCCAAATTTGGTAACAAATATGTAAGAGAAAAAACAAATCTAGTGTAGGTTATAACAGTAGGATATGTGCAAATAGATGGTAACTAGATCCACTCACATGGGCTGTAGCTTTAATCTATTAACTCAGTAATTAGCGGCTCTATGCTCTTTAGGGCAGCAACACAACTCTCTTCTGGTACAGATGAACCTCCAAATAGAAAGCCAAGAGTGTAGTATTTTAAAAACCAAGTATTGAGCTCCCCTTATTCAGAGCTGTAAATTCCTGGCTCTAAGGTAAATTAGCTTGTGGGGTTGGCACTTAACTCCTTGATGAAGTTCCTGGAACTCCACAGGACATTGAGAAGTGTTATGTATACGGTTTATTGGTCAAATATAAAACTGTAACAAAACAAACATACTATATAAAATGTATAAGTTGAAATAAAATCCAGTGTTGCACTTGCTAGAGAATGTCCTTCAGTTGCCATAACGCGTTTCACTCCTGAAATGAGCTTCCTCGGTCAGCTGTCTGACTGAATAAGGTGAGCTCAATACTGATATAATCTACACTCTATTTGTGTTTTTTTTCCCCTCTTAAATATTTGTTGCCTAATTTAGATGCACTCTAATATAAAGTGAATACAAAAAAAAAGAAAAGTCCTGCGCTCACTCCCATCACTCCTGGGCGGCAGCAACGACCACAGTACACATCAGCTCCAACACATATAGTAAAAACCAAAGAAAAAAGTTACCTGCGCTCTCTCCTGAATCCCTATGCATAGTTAAACAAATGAAGGTCATTTAGTTACTCAAATGGCCACTGGAGGGAATGCCCGCCTGCCAACGTCCAGGCAGACCCCCCTAGATCGGTCCTACACTGACCCTTCACCTTGCTTCCTTGAGCCTCTGGCAAAGATATCTCCAATGAGACAGAAAGGGGTATTTTTTTATATACACCCCTATATACTTATTAACCATTAATAGGGAACACATGGGATGGGTGGCACCATTGTTACCAAGCTGTGTGCTACAAAAAGTGAATACAAAAAGAAAAGTCATGTGCTCACTCCCATCACTCCTGGGCGGCAGCAACAACCACAGTACACATCAGCTCCAACACATATAGTAAAAACCAAAGAAAAAAGTTACCTGCGCTCTCTCCTTAACCCCTTAAAGGGACACTATAGTCACCTGAACAACTTTAGCTTAATGAAGCAGTTTTGGTGTATAGAACATGCCCCTGCAGCCTCACTGCTCACTCCTCTGCCATTTAGGAGTTAAATCCCTTTGTTTATGAACCCTAGTCAAACCTCCCTGCATGTGACTTGCACAGCCTTCCATAAACACTTCCTGTAAAGAGAGCCCTATTTAGGCTTTCTTTATTGCAAGTTCTGTTTAATTAAGATTTTCTTATCCCCTGCTATGTTAATAGCTTGCTAGACCCTGCAAGAGCCTCCTGGATGTGATTAAAGTTCAATTTAGAAATTGAGATACAATTATTTAAGGTAAATTACATCTGTTTGAAAGTGAAACCAGTTGTGTTTTTTTTTTTTTTTTTTCGTGCAGGCTCTGTCAATCATAGCCAGAGGAGGTGTGGCTAGGGCTGCATAAACAGAAACAAAGTGATTTAACTCCTTAATGACAGTGAATTGAGCAGTGAAATTGCAGGGGAATGATCTATACACTAAAACTGCTTTTATTTAGCTAAAGTAATTTAGGTGACTATAGTGTTCCTTTTAAGGACACATGACATGTGTGACATGTCATGATTCCCTTTTATTCCAAAAATGTGGTCCTTAAGGGGTTAATCCCTATGTATATTTAAACAAATGGGGGTCTGCCTTGACGTTGGCAGGTGGGCATTCCTTCCAATGGCCATTGGAGCAACTAAATGACCTCCATTTGTTTAAATATACATAGGGATTAACGAGAGAGCGCAGGTAACTTTTTTCCTTTGGTTTTTACTCTAATATAAAGGTAAGCAAACTATTTAAAGTTTTTTTTATTTTTAATTCTTTAAACACTCCACCACTATATATAAGTTTATCACTTAATATTGTTTTGTAATATATATATGGTGTGTGGAAAAGAGGGTATGCCCACACGTTTGTTTTAGACCTACTAAAAGCTCTCGATACTGAGCACATTTTCTCCTATTGGAGATTAATCACAATACGTCTTTTCATGTTTTGTGCATTGTTTGTTTCAGTATTTTCACTGTTGTCTTTCTTTCGCAGACACAGGAATTGTCCTCGGATTACTCCACTCCAGCAAAAGGTAGGATACTGTGTACTAATAGCATGCACGAATATGTAATATTTTGTTCATTGTGTATCTATTACCTGGGTTTGTTTCCTTAACTGCATACATTACATCAAATTAAATGTTGTGTTAGCAGCACTTTCAGGATTACTAGGTAGGACAGCATAACTTTATTGTATTCATTTTGTCTTGTGGTTAGGAACTTTTGGCCATGGACATTGATGTTAATACTGTCCTGCCATACCACGGATCAACTATCACGGTTTCAGAATGGAGAAATTCTGCAGAGTTGAATATTTCGTCCAAGATGTACTTTTTTTTAATTAATCCCATCCTAGCACAGATGAAGGATATTGCTGCGCTGCAAGCATGCCATTATATAAACAAATACTGGGTTTGGCAGCACCCCACTTCCCCCTCTCTTCTATTATTTTTATCATTCACTTAATTAAGCATCTTGTTTCACTTGGTGTCGGCTGATGGTGGCCCGATGAGAAGGCACTTTCTTTCCGTGACTTGGTGTCTTTCAGCTAAGCATATCACACCTTGTTTACGTCTTGTTGATCTTGTGAAGGATGCTTAGGTGATTCAAAATCATGGTTTTAGACAGGTACCAAACTCATCTTCTAGATTGTCTGCTCACTCTCTTTTATTAGACCCTATTGACTTGACACTGATAGTGTCTATAAATAAAATATTTTGTTAAAATGTATGTCAACCACTAGATGTGTTCCTGTATGCACATCAAAAGACTACCTGGTTTGCTTTATTCAGTAAATTGTTTACCGACTGCAAACGTTTTGTAAGTTTAGGCCAAATATAAAATTTAGAAATGATATATTTACAATTTTATAACAAGTATTGGCTAAATTGTGATTTTTCAGGTCATAAAACTGCTTCAGTAAAAACAAAAAAAAACTATCTTTTTTCTATAAATGAGCTAAATCCACCTCAATTTTATTTCACTGTTAAACTATTCCGCTCCGACGCTGTGATTCTTACTCCACAACAATAAATCGTGGTTTTGGTGAGGTTCTCTCTAAGGAAAGTGGACAAAAATAATTAAAAATCAAATACTTGTATAACATTACCCAAATGAAATGCTGAGAAAATGGTCTCCCACTGGTATATGCCCCCCAAACACTTTGGTTTTAGTTTTCTGTTTTTTTTTTTTTTTGTTTGTTTTTGTTTCCCCGGTTTATGGGTACTAATCACAATGAATGTATTTTCATTCTTGATGAGGTTTTGCTAAATAAAGTTTATTGGACTTGGTTATTTTTATTGTTACCAAGTGCCTTTGTTGTTAATATTACCTCTGATCCAAAGTTGTCCTAATCTCTCAAAAATACTTGTTCTTAAAATAGTATCTGTATCTAGCCTTTCAAAGCACTTGGCACTTACTCTACCTTGTATACAGGTTAAATTGTAGTTTATTCTAGAGATGAAGTGACCAGCAGCCTGTTTGTGTGGCACCACTATTCATTTACGTTTAGCAATGATGAATGGTGGCCTTTGAGGATGATATGCCTCCTTAAATATGAAGGAAGATCCATTTCTTGGCTTTTTTTTGTCTTATTTAATTTTGCCCTGAAAGGCAATTTGTACTGCAGTGCATTGTTTGTTGTGGTTTTTTTTGTTTTGTTTTTCCACTGCAGATATTTAATAAACATTATCTTGGAATACCAAAATGTGTCCATAAAGACAAGTGTTTTATTTTTTTTGTTTTTTTTTAAAGCCAGTCACATTTTAGACTCCCTCGGTGGTGCGGTCTGCAATGTACTTGTGGAGGTGTCGTTTCCACTAAGAATGTCCAATTCAATGGTCCTCCTAGAGAAGCACTGGAGACGAGGTGCTCGGCGAGAGTCGTGTGTGTCCAGTCAAATGCTTCTCATAGGAAAGCATTGAATTCCAGGCTTTCCTAGGAGTTTCTCTCAGTTGTTGCCGAGGAAGCCTCTCTATTGACCGTCTAAGTGTGTTAAACATTGCAGTTCCCACAAAATGTTTTAGATAGCAGGGATAACTACAAGACCACTTTATTGATGTTATAGGTGAGAAGGGGCATGCTATGGTGGGGATGACCCATTCTTTTAGTGTGTTATGTAGATAATGTATTAACAAGTTTGGAAAAACTATTTAAACAGTAACTCCCCTTTGCATTTTTTGCACATCCAAATACTTATTTCATCGAGCCCTACCCTTTACAATCAATACATTTATGTAGAACTGAGAGTGGGTTGCCTATTTCAGACCAAACTGCTGAAAAAAAATCTATTTGTGCTATTTTCGTTTTTGCCTAGATCTTAAAAATAATCTTTGTGAGTTATCCACGGTTCACAGTTTATTGAATAGCACAATACATGCGCTAATGTGGGTGGGCCTGGAAATCATACATGTACCCTGTGACATATTTGAGCACTTAATATTCCTTTTGCAAATTTGTTTTAGTTCAAAGTCCCTAATAAAAGAGAGGCATGGCAAGCTGTTGCACTATAGACTATGCAAAAAGTGTAAAAAAAAAAAAAAAAGTTATGATGCCCAGGTCTTTTAAATCCACATTGTTATGACAAATTCAAAAGTCTGGCCAAATTATAAACTACAGGCAGCATGAGATGAATTAAAGTCATAATCATTGCTTTTCTTAGGGGAGTATTGAAATGCCAGATTAGGGGAGATAGGGCACCAGAAAACTAGGTTTATGAAAAAAAAAAAATATATATAGGAGGGATGTTCTACTCTCACATTTAGGGCAGCGCATATTTCATATATTATGGATCTCTTGTGCAATCCATGAAGCCATGTCCTCCTGTTCTGCTTCTCAAATAAAGATTAGAACATTCTCACAGAAACACCTGTTCCACTTTCAACATGTATCTCAATATTGTCCTTTATGTGCCACATTCAAATCCAAGTAAAACTTCCTTCTTTGTTTTGGCACCCGTACGATTTCCCCCTCCCCCTACTAATATTGCAGTTATTATCGATATTGTAATAAATCCATAGGATTAGACCTTGCCTGTGTAAAAACCAGCTGTAAGTAAATTCTTATTCTTTTATCTAGGGCTGTGGAGTTTATACACAACACCTTCAACTCTGACTCCTTAGAATATATTTATATATAATTATTAGACTTGGGCACAGCAGAAGATTTTAGTTTGTTTGAATGTCTTTGGACATTTACATAATGCGTTGGAGTTTGACGCTTAAAAGGATTGCTCTAAGGGTTAGGATTATTTCAGGAAGAAAACATGTATTGCAGTCCGTGAAACCCCAAAAAATATCCATTCAGCATTTGGTCATCTGAAAGAACTTCGTCCTACAAGAGGTGATATTTCTATCTTTTAAAACTTTTGTTGAGGAACCTGTGCGTTTATTTTTTTTATTTTTGTTTTTTCTCTTGAATTATCCTTTTTAGTTGCAATTTTCACAGACCAAAAATGTGACAGAGATCTATGCTACTTTTATCAAACTTTCCTTAAAGTGTAATCATGAAGATAAAGTTCTAGTTCATGAAGATAAAGTTTAACATTAAAGTCCACTCTGCATTTCACCGGGCCCTAGTGACCGTTCTGCTGATGCCGTCTTTAAATCTTGAGAACATGAGCAAATATTGTCACATCATGGTGTCAATCTCTACAGATCCTTAATAGGGAAGTCAGTGTTAAATAGGTTTAAAGCTAAATGGTTCAAGTACATTCCTTAACGTCCTTACACAAAGTGGAGTATATTATATCTGGCCTAAAAGGAAAACTCAATTTTTAGTAGTGTATGAACAGAGACTAAACACTACTCCAGTTAGACATGCAATGTGCAACTTAGACTAGTTTTATATACTTTTCTGGAATTTCTGCAGAGTAAATTTTTTATGAATTTGGCCAATCTAGCTTTTGGGTGTAAAAGACAACATTCAGCTTGTCACAATACTCCCTTTTTATACCAACTTACATCTACATATATTTACCTTCAATCAACTTACACAGATGCAGAAAAACACTGCACCAACCAGATGGTTTCTGTGAAACCATCTGATTTGGAGAAAAACCTGCTATTGTTGCGTAGGTGCCTGTAGGATTGTCAGTATAAACGGCAACATTTTACATTGCAAGGTAATAACGAAATGGAAATTGCACCTAGACCACTTCATTACCTATAGTGTCCCTTTAGCATTAGGGTTGTTATAGTAAAGTCTCTTTGCTCCGAATGATCATTATTCTCATTTACATTGCACTTTATAAACTAAACTGCATATTGATGCACTAATGGAATGTAAGTCCTACAGCAACATACATGTCCAACCCTCAATGCATCATGCTTCAACTCTAGGATTTATACTGATGACTATGCTCCCATGCAGTAGCCACTGTTATGTCTATTAAAGTCAATGGTGACTAGATTGAAATTTGAATTGAAACTTATCATATTTGCAGGTGCGATCTACCGAGTGGAAAATTCATCTCCTGAACTACACATTTTTTTTTTGGCGATGCAAATTATAGGGAAAAACTAAATTCATGATCTTTTACTTGCATCGTCAACTTTTTGCATTGAATGGGTAACATTTGTAAAATCAGATCTTATCCCATAATTCTCCTTCTAGCACGGGTGACTTATGCATCAATTTATACACCACTTGGTTTATGTTTTAGTGAACCAGGGTGTGTTTTACAGGGTTGTTCACTAAATTTGAATTCAAAGTGAATTTTGACTTTGAGGCAAAAATAACTGAATTGGACGCAAAGCTGATTGATTTATTTATTTATTTATTTATTTTAATTGGCTAGTTTGACCTGTGTCGGTGGAGCTGAGGAACACTCATGCCCTGTCTGTGGCTCGCCTCTCTATCAAGGAGGAAGAGAAATCTTTAGAAACTCTGCTTAATACATACACACGTGGCAGGAACAAAATTGATACAAGCAATCTAGAACATAGAGTTCTCGGCTGGTTATTGACAACCAAGGTGGGCTGTCTTTAGCAGCAGCAATCTTAACATATCAAAGCAACCTTAACCCACTAATCTGCACAAAACTGTGAACGGGTGACGCCCACCTTTTTTGCTCAGGGTCCTTAATCTAAGTCAGGATGGAGGATATTTTATTGTATATTTAAATATTTTATTTAACAATTTGATAATGTTAATGGCGAGTGTGGTTCTCTTTTTCTTAGTTCCAGTGGTGCCTGGTCCATGTGAACCAGAGGATTTGTTGGATGGGGTAATTTTTGGTGCCAAATACTTGGGTTCTACCCAGCTGCAATATGAGAAAAACCCAGCAACAAACACTCGGATGAGACAGGCCCAGGAGGCAGTGGACAGGGTGAAGGTATGAGAGCAAAATGTATGATAAAAAAGGAAAGCAATGCATGAGCTGCCACCAGCAGATGGTGTATTGGTACAGCTAAAAGAAAGAAATGCAGAACCCCTATTAAAAATCATTTTCTTCTTAAATATTCCAGGCACCAGAAGGGGAGTCTCAGCCGATGACCGAGGTTGATGTAATGGTGTCGACACAAAGAGTTAAAGTGCTGACTGCAGATTCTCAGGTCAGATCTTTTCAGCAGTATTCATTTTATATACATTTGAATGTATTCATGGGGAACAGCGGCTTTTATGTTCCCACTAATAAACAACCATTAAAAAAAATTATTATGAAATTCAATATTTGCTTTGGGCATACATTACTCACAATTCAGCTATTATTACTAGGAGGTACAGACGATTTGTCATTTAAACTACTCTTTCAAAAGTTTCACTTAAACAAAACAAGAAAAAACAAACTCAACGTTGTTTGTTTGTTTTTTTTTCTCTTCTGTGGTTCAATTATTTAAAGAGGAATAAGCAATGTGTAACTCAATTGTGCTGATTACGTAGTTTAAATAAACTGTGTTTTGTTTAACCTTTTAAGTTAAGTGTTATCGCATTCCTCTGTAAAAGTTAAGTGGCTTCTATTAGCGCAGTCCTACATTTTGTACTGTACAGTGAGTTATGTATAAAAGGTGCTGTGTCCTGAAAAGTGATCTAAAGTACTGAAAGTGGGGCTGCCACCATGGAAACCAGTGCAACAGGCCGGCACATTATATTCGCAATACCACCCCTTTTGCCATCGTTGTGCTACTTGTCAGGACAGACATTTTTTTTTTTAGTAATAACTACCAATGTGTTCTTTGAAGTCATTCTGGCTCCTGTAGATCACCAGGTTCACGCAGATGGAATATAAATGTAAAAAATAAATCATAAATTTGTTCTAAAAATCCATTGCCAGCATGGATTCTGCTCTCGCAGTGCATTAAAGGGACGCTGTAGGCATTCTAACCACTTCATTATTATAGGGATATTTAGAGGTGAAGAGGGCTCAAACAAGTTTACAATCTATGTGGATTAGATGTAGACAAATATATATTGATAGGGGGAGGGAGGGAGGGAAGGGCTTGACAAGGCTCCAGGCAAGAGATTTGCAGCTTTTAAAGCTGTTTGTTTTAGATAAACCTACCCATAATGAAAAATGCATAATTAAATGCGTGCATGTTTTCATTGAGGATACACCTACTAAACAGTGATTTTATTTTGTATTTTTAATTTTTTTAAATTTTGGCAGTGGAGTGTGGATTATGGATCCAGTCAACTTTGGTGCTAAGGCAGAGAGATTTTTACTGGTAGTGTGAGATGATGCAATACAACCCCCTTACTGTGAATTAAAACACATGCTTCGAGTCTGAGAAATATTCTGTGCAGATTGTGTTCTAAATGTACTCAGACATACTTTATCCATTACTAGAAACCATGCTTTGTATCAACATTCTGTATGTTACAGGAAGCCTTGATGGATCACCCATTACAAACAATCTCATACACTGCCGATATTGGAAGTATTGTGGTTATTATGGCACGCAGGAAATCTCCCCGTAGCCAGGAGCAGCCCTCGGGCCAAAAGAGGTCACAAAGGATGCTGTGCCATGTCTTCCAGTCTGCTGACGTGAGTGATTTAAAGGGCAAAACCGTAATGAGGCACATATTGAGACCGTGTAGTGTCTGTCATAGTAATTTGCGTGTGAGGCTACCAATCCCTGTTTGTGGCAACAAGGCAAAATATTCCATAACCATGCAGTGACTTGAGAAGACTTAGAAATAGTAAAATATATGCCAAAATAGCAGATATTTTTATACGTTTCCAGATTTTAATTTATTTTTCATTTAACTATTTTCTTGGTCAACTAAAGGAACACTATAGGGTCAAGAACACAAACATGTATTCCTGACCCTATAGTGTTAAAAGCCCCCTTGGTCCCCCTTTCCCTCCCTTAATATAGCAAAATCTTACTTGTATTCAAGTCTGCAGCTGCTGCCTCTGCCCCTAATATGACTGCTTGACTGTGGCTCAGAGAATCACTTCTGATGATGTCAATGTTTCCCATAGGATTGGCTAAGACTGTCAATGAGGCAGATCAGGGGCAGAGCCAGCACAAGCCAAACACAGCCCTGGCCAATTCGCATCTCCTCGTAGAGATGCATTGAAACAATGCATCTCTGTGCGGAAAGTTCAGTGTCTCTATGCACTTGAACTTGAACCAGTGAGCAAGAGCAATAGCAAGAGAGAGATTGATATCTATGTATTATTTTTTTTTTTTTTTTTTGGCTTTTGGAGTATGTGAGTCATTTGCATTTACGCGTCCAGTGATCAAATCAGGACATATTTTTAAGATACAATTATAGTGACTAACCTGTTTTATACTGGTAATAAACTTACAATAAACTCCAAATAATTGCTCAACATATGTAGATATAAAACCATAATGACCTTGTTAATCAGTGAAAGATATGCATGTTATGTTTCCAGTATAATGTTACATATCCGTTTAAAGAACACTGAGTTATTGATTGGCCATATTTAATGTATGATTTCCCTGCAATCATATCTATAGTTACAAAAATGTTTTGGCTAGTGCGTAACACGAGGAGGCTTGTGTGATATTATGCTCCATGTTTTATATTGTGCCTCGGTTAATTGCTTAAAAATAACCCTCCCCACCCTGTTACCTGTCACCTAATTGGCTGTGTTTGGGAACACTTTACTTTAGCAGGTTGCCCTTCAGCAATGACTTTGACACGCTCGGCTCATCAGCATAAGGATGGAGTGACTTCTTCTATAGTACATCACTTACACGTAACATCTTATTAACCCCTTAAGGACACATGACATGTGTGACAAGTTTGGTCCTTAAGGGTTTAAACACCCGATTGTCAAGATGTGTTTATAACCGGGTTAGAGAATTTTCCGAATCATTTATGCCTACATTTTGTTTGCAATTTGGATATCAATCAACTCTAATTTGTGATTTAGCCTCTTCTACATATACTACCTGACAGTCCTGATTCCATCCACTAGGCTCAGATGATTGCCCAGGCCATTGGTCAAGCTTTTGGATTGGCCTATCAGAACTTCCTGCTTTCAGAAGGCGGGCAGCCAGTCACTTCAGAAGCTACAGAACAATTGTACAATGCTGACCTGGCTTACTTCAGCAAGAGGGACAACTGCAGAGAGGTGAGTGTCCATCTGCTCCCCATCCCCCCCAATCTAAATCTGTATCTTTAATCCACCTTAAAGTGTTACTCTTTTTGAATATTCTGGGTTTTTTTCAGCTGAAAGAGCAAGCGAAGAAAAGCTAATTACTATCTGTCGCCAGCACTCTGTGCGTGCTGATGACAAATGTGAAATATGCACAGAACTGAAATATAATTAAGAAGGTAGGCACACTAATTGAATAACATAAGGATATATCCGTAGAAACAAAATATCTGAACCGGATGCTCACTCAAAGGTCCTATTCCCCAAGGACCTAAACAATCAATAGATAATGCCAAATGAGGAGCACAACCATAGAGACAAAAAAAATACTTTATTAGTTGGTTCCAGTACACTAGGTATCCCAAGTTTATACCAAGCAACATTAGCAGTAATGTCAAAACAATGCTCAATACAAAAAAAGCATACAAGGTATACAATAATCACATTGTATTCATGGAAAACAACCAAAAAAGTACAATAATGCTATTGGAAGTATAGTCACAATGATGCCCAAAACAAGCTACCCAACATAAAAAAAGAAAAAATAATTTCAGAAAAAGGGAACAGGGAGAAAGTCAAAATAGCCCCCAACTGAGGGTGCGGCCGAACCATCACCGCGAGCAGTCTTATACCTGTGGTGCTCTGTACGCCTAGCAGCAAAAACAGCAAATCCTACCCGCGGCACGGCGGGGATCTGTACACAAAAGTGCTCCCAACCCGTGCGATACCATGGGCAAGAAGCTCAAAAAGTTAAACCCACCCAGGAGACGGCAGCAGGAGAATTGGGGATCTCTTCCAAGCGCAGCCTATTGCTAAGATGGCGGCCATACCGGACTCCCGCTGCTCATCTTCAGAGGAGGAACCTCTGGACGCCCCAGACAACATAGAGAAAAGGCGAACTCAGTGTTTAGGTGATCAACCCCACCACCTAACACACAGAGTCCAAAAGTGCAGCCCCTTAAATATATTTACATTTACCCCTTGGTATATACAGGGGATTTTTCCACATGCAAAAAGTAGAAAAGTATATAATAGTGTAATATTGTATATTACTTTAAAGGTGTATATTTGAGTGAGTATATAGAAAAAAAATCACAATTTTTAGAGCCTTTTTCGATATCTGCTCTAAACAGGTGGCACTAGAAAACCTTCTTCTGTATACACATAGTATTTTCTCCCAGCAGAAATATGGAGGTAAAGCAGAGAAAAAAAAAAAACAATCTAGGTGTATGTTTGATATAAAATATGGTTTTCTAGTGCAACCTAAAAGGCCCAGACACTCCTCTTGTTTAGAGCCGATATCGAAAAAGGCTCTAAAAAAATTGGAGTTTTTCTATATCCCCAATATGTGTTTAGCAACATCTTCTGAGTACAACAGTACCCCCAATGTACAGGTTTTATGGGTTTGTGCAAACTTACTGAGGTCAAATGTAGGGATTTTCCATGTTTGCACATTGAAATTTGCCAGATTGGTTTGCTGGGCCTATGTTGCCTTTGAGACCGTATCAGGGCAATCACATGGCCCTGGAGTGCCGGACCGGGACTGCTGGGGTCTCGGGCAGTGTCGTTCCCTCCTCCTTCCCCGGGATTGCCGGTTCAGGTAAGTACATGGGTCATTTTTGCCACGGACGTACCATTATACGTCCAAGGTCATTAACCATTTTTTGTTAAAGGGAAGGGGTCGAAGGACTATACCGTCCTTAGGTCCCACTCCCGCTGGTCTGAAGGGTTAAAACACTTACTTTTCTCCAGCCCTGGGCTCCCTCGGCGCTCAGGAACCCTCCTCCTCTTGCTGACATCAGATCCGCATGTGCGGCAAGAGCCGTGCGCGCATTCAAGCCGCCCATAAGAAAGCATTACTCAATGCTTTCCTATAGATGTTAGCGTCTTCTCACTGTGATTTTCACAGCGAGAAGCGCCTCGAGCGTCTGTCAGTGAGACAGCCACTAGAGGCTTGGTTAACCCTAGTGTAAACATAGCAGTTTCTCTGAAACTGTTTTTAGCTGTAGGGTTAAAACTAGAGGGACCTGGCACCCAGACCACTTCATTGAGCTGAAGTGGGCTGGGTGCCTATAGTGGTCCTTTAAACTTTTTCATGCACCTCAACAATTGTTGCTATACAGTAAGCCGCCACAACATTTAAACACACTGACAGGTAAAGTGGATAACATTGATTATATTGTTACAATGGCAGTTGTCAAGGGGTGGGATAGATTAGGCAACATGTGAATAGTCTGTTCTTGAATTTCATGTGTTGGAAGCAGGAAAAATGGGCAAGATCTGAGTGACTTTAGCATTCACCATTTGGCCCTTGTCAAACAACTGAACATTTCCAAGTGCAATTTTCGCACCGAGGCCCCGTGGTTTCTAGTTGCGCCTCTGCTCGATGCATCAGGGCTGTTTTGACAATACAAGGTGGGCCTACACGAGATTAGGCAGGTGACTTTAATGTTATGGCTGATCAGTGTATGACATTGCTGTTACAGTGTTTTAAATTATCCTATACCCAGTACAGATCTCATAATTCCACCATCTACATTCCCATCTTAGTTGTCACTCATATGTACATCATTATTTCTATTAGTCCAGTTGAAGGGGAAATTCTTACGGGAAGGTGAACCTTTCATTTATATTAGACGACAACTATAATTTTTGGGTTTTGGTTGTGTTTCTCCCCCCCTCTCCCCTCAATTTCATTCCATTCAATTAAACTTAAATTATAGTATTTTTCAAATCATGTATATTGATTTTTATTTTTTTGAGTAAATCTAATTTTTTGATCTGGCTGAGCAGCCATGTTGCATTAGATTCTGTTATCTGACCAATTGCTGTTCAATCTAACTTGCCAGCTGCTGCAGGTTCACACTCTCGCCAGCAGGTAAGTTAGGTTGAAACTACATATATAAAGCACAGTATTTATTTCTATTTGAGTCCTGTAACCCATCAACACCCTTCTTTATGATTATGTAGTCCTTTCATGTAAACTCATTCAGCTTGTTTCTCTTGCAGGTATATATCCAGAAGCAGCGTGGAGAGGTTCTTGGTGTAGCTGTAGTGGAATCAGGTTGGGGATCTTTGCTTCCAACTGTGGTTATTGCAAACCTGATGCATGGGGGTCCGGCAGAGCGCAGTGGTGAACTCAGCATTGGGGATCACGTGACCAGTATTAATGGAACCAGCCTGGTGGGACTGCCCCTTTCTACATCACAAGGGCTAATCCGGGTAAGATGCCAAGGACGTACTTAAAGTAGAAGAGATCATGAGATTGAGATAGCAAGATAATAAATAGTATGCGCAAATGAGTTAAAGTGCAATTAAAAATTTGGTGATAAGCAATGAGGTGAGGATTTTAGAAGCAAAAAAAAAATTATGGGTGAAAAAAAAAGGACTGTTGTTGGGCATGGAATATAAAGGAATTTTAAAGCAAACTGATGAATATTCTCTAGGAGCTGAAAGGCCAGTCTGAAGTGGTTTTGAATATAGTCCGTTGCCCACCTGTTATCACCGCAATCATTCACAGACCTGATGCCAGTCACCCGTTGGGTTTTTGTGTGGAAGATGGAGTGGTGAGTGTGAAGTCAGAACTTCGGGTAACAATGTTACAATATTAACACATTGATGCAGATGTATATTGATAAGTCTTGTATTAACACAGATCTGCAGCCTAGTGCGTGGGGGCATCGCTGAGCGTGGGGGAATCAGAGTTGGCCATCGCATTATCGAGATAAACGGTCAAAGTGTTGTGGCCACATCCCACGAGAAAATTATTCAGACTCTACTAGATGCTACAGGGGAGGTAAGAATGCATTGAAAAGGTCAATGTAAAGCAGCTGGACAATGTATGTCGTAGTGAAACCCCATTTAATTTTTTTTTTGTACACAGGTCCATATCAAAACTATGCCAGCTTCTACTTACAGACTGCTGACCGGACAGGAAACCCCACTCTACCTTTGAGGACTTGATATTCATCTCCTTCACAATGCACCATATCCATCGTGTGGAGTGGATGTAATGCTCAGGAACTTGGCGTTCTATACAAATATGGACACTTTGGCAAGAACGTGTATTTGTAACTTTGTGGCGTTAAAGATCACACAGAGAAGGTAATGAGGCTCCTTCTTCCACGCTTTTCTTGTGCCGTATTAAATAGGATCTTTCTGGCCTCACTAGTGAATGTATTGGGTTATGGACTGATCAAAAGAATAGTCCCATCACACGGAAAGTGCAATAATTAAACAATCCAACAAGGACAACCAGTCAGACACAAAGCGCTCAAGAAGAGGACCAGGTCACTAGACCATAGCTGCATCAATTTCTTTGTACATCTTTTAACAGAATAACAAGTGGGATTACCATTTAGCTAACTGGACCATTCCTACTGGGAATAGGGCAGTTTTTCATCTCCAGTATTAAGTTTCCTATTGTGCTATACACACAAACAGATATGGAGAGTGAATACATAACAGGGAAGTATTTACAGTCTATCCATAGGTCGAACAAAATAGACAACGTCGCTGTGATAAATTCAGCTTTCTCCCTGCATGGATTTCAGGAAGGAACAGAGCTCTGATTTTGTAGTGGATGCCTTCTGCGCACACACACTACAGACTTTAAACTAGTTCTGTAAATTTCTGTTTTATATATATCTGAGCAATTGAAAATATTGAATAAACCAGATGGACAATGGCAAAAAAAGTCTCATTTATTAAAGTTAAAAATATATTTATATGTATGTATACTTTGTGACCTTAAGTCTTATGGACAAACATCTTCTCGTCACCATTTGTTCTGATAGGCATCTGCATCCATATACATGAATTCAGTGTTCTCGTGTGAATTTATCTTCCTCTCAAAGGCACATGTAGGAATTTTTGGCATAGCTTAATTAGCTGGCAGGCACAGACTTCACAGGTCAGTTGCTGGACCTCCCCAATTGTAGTCATCATCTTCCGAACTAGAACTTCTTGCACGATTGAATTTACGGCGTAAGGCATCGTGTTCGTATTCACGGCTAGGAATGAAATTGACAAAACAAGTGAATTTTGCCTTTGTCTGCAGTACATTTACTGTGCAGGGAATTAAGCAGAAAGAAACTGTTTGTTAGTTTTCAAACGCTGTCAAGGTGTAGGGATAAGGTTTAGAGTTTTTTTTTTTTTTTATATATATTTTTAATAAAAATAAAAATAAAAACATCTTTTGAAAGGATCATCATGTTAAAACATACCCACCAGAAATAAATCAAATGGTCGCGAGCATCTTTTAGGTTGATTCTGGGGTCACTCATTCCAAATTAGCTGGTTATGTTTGAATGTCTTTGACCTTTCCCAAGTACAGGAAGGTTTACAAAGTACACATACCCAATCAAGTTGCACTAGTTAGCCAGACTGGATTATATGACTTGAGACTGTGGAAGATTACATTTTGTTTTTTCCTGAGAAATCACAATCATGTCAAGTAAATATCTATTGCAGTTTACTATGGAGAGATAATACTCCAAAGAAAAAAATGCGTCGGGCTGTAGCATATGGATTTGTGTGGTTTATTTAAAATATAAAAAAAGTACATCTTTTGGGACAAAGAGTTACATGAAAAATGTAAGCAGTAACGGAACACTCCAAACCACCAAAGCATTTTATCTTGCTTTAGGCGCTTGTGTCCCCTCTCTTACTTTATAAAGCTCTTGGGTTGTCCTCGATCAAGGCAGAAGAAGTGAAGGTTTCTTATGAGGAAGCATCCTGCCTCTCTCTCATGTATGAGAAGTATTAGTGGCCTGAAGATAATCATGTTCTCCCAGACACAGAGCTGAACTCAGATGAGTAGCCATGTTGCCACTGGATTAGAAGTGAATGTCAAGGGTGCATTTGGGGGAGGGAGCTGAATTCTTCTTCACATTAAAATCTTTTTGCAAAACTAAAGATTAGAACGTGAAGAAAAATATAGCAGGTTTACGAGATCAGAAGCTGGACATGTGTTTATAGTGTTAAATTTTATTGAGGAAAAATAATAGATTAGGCTACACAAATAAGTACAATAAGTAACATTACATTTTGTTATTTATTTTCAGTCTCTTGCACTACATAGAGCTAAGGATTTCCGGCGTTTTTAAGGAAGTTAGTTTTCCACTAGACATTCCAATAATTCCTACCTGCTGCTGTTCTTGTAATTCCATTGACCACGAGGCTGGTCTTCTTCCTACAGAGGTAGAAAATTAAAAGTTTCTCTCATTCATTTGGTTCCAGGGAATTCTGCAGACTTTACTGTAACATCATTTTAGTCTATTACACAAGCGAACTGCATTCTCTGGCCAATAGAAATATATTAAGGATTTTAAAAAATAATTGTTGCATGGTAACAAAAAAATCAGAGACTGATGGTTATTACAGGTAAACTTTTTTTTTTTTTTTAAAGCTTGGATTAGACTGTGAAGGTGAACTTTTGATAAGTTTAATAAAAAAAATTAAAAAAAATGATTATCCTTATTCCTCTTGCTCAGACACATTGACATAATGGTTGTATATATCATTAAGTACCTGAGGGCTTTCTGTGTTCCTAGCAGTTTCATTACTTCTGTACTGAAAGTTGGATTCAATCACGGAGTTATCTTCATGGTACGAGGCAGTGGCAGCAGGAGAATGAGGATATCCAGAAGAATATTCAGACTCAGCGTTCGACCTGTAGTAGAGCGGTTGTTGATCAACTACTGGCTCAGATGACCTAGCCAGAGCTGGCTCCTGTAACTCCTCGTCAAACTCCTGGTCGGTATAGGCACCACCCTCGGCATCAGTTTCTTCATAGTCACTGTTGGCACGACTGTCACAGCTGAGATAGTCCGTGGATCCATAGTTTGATACATTCTGAATATGCAAGGGTTCTGTGTCTAAACTATCCACCTAAAATGAGAAGGTTCTGATGTTTGATAGAATTCACAATGCACATCTTTATCACATTTATACATAGTATTCTTCTCAAATAAATTATATGTATATATTTTGAGTAGTATCCCAACACACTATATTCACCTTTTCTTCTGCAGTCCAAATGGCTCTTGCTTGCTCAGTCCGAATAATCTCTTTCAAGCTGGGCAGCCACGAGTCACTTGCCCCACTCAGGTTAATGGTTGCTGTAGGAAGTGAATACAATATAATAAACATAAGAGGCCCAAGGTGAAGAATGAGGGTCATGCAAGGAGAACTGGAAAAAATGGTTACCAGTGAAGAGACGAGAGCTATTTTTTCTCATTTTGACAGCTTGTGAATACAAACGTCTAGAGCTCTTCTTCGATTCAGGAAGCAACCACTGTCTCATGGCTTTCACCCCCTGTCTGTTCTCTGGGTTACAGAACACAACAATAGGATAGAACTGAACATAATTCAGGTGTTCCACAGCTGTTGGAGTGATATCCAGGAGTGCATGCTTATTCTAAAATAAAGTAAAAGAGCATTGAATAATTAGACTATAACCACAGTATTGAAAAGCATTCTCAAAATGGCAACATAAATGTTTAGGTTGCACTTCTAATACTGTAAGCAACACATCTGTACCTTTGCTGCAATTTCTTTCACAACCTGCAGTTTGATGACCTTGGAAGATCCATCATCTCGAGCAACACTATCTAGAAGGACATAGAAACTCAAGGTAATTGCAATGATCATTTCAAATGCATCAAGCATAATCCAAAGACCCAACCTTAATTAGTGCAAGGTTTCTCTCACCTGCTGACTCAAACTCATCGGGCAGTTGAGCACATAGCTTCTGGTGCGCAATATCGGTGATTGGACCCAAAATGACTACAGGACGTTTAAAACTTGCTAATTAAAAAAAAAGATAAAAGATGAAAAAGACATTTGACAGTGAAAATAAGACACACAAAAAAAAGTTTCATGTTGTAGAGGAATCTTGGTTAATAAAGAGGCTTACAAAAAATGTAACAGACAATTAGAGATGCAAGGTTAATGGTTACCTTCTCGAAGGACAACTCTTTCATATGGAGGGTATTTAGCTTTAGTTGTTATTGCGGACAAATCTTCTCTGCTCTTTTTCAATAACTTTTTAGCCCCCCGTAGACCCCTCATCTTCCAAAATTCAGCCCGGGGTCCAGATGAGGATTGTGACTTTAAAACCGGCTCTAAACTGGCATATTGTTCAGCCCTGGAAAAGTACAAAGTCCAGACTATAAAGAACAATAGCATTGAAAGCGCAGGGGAATTTGAATAAGAAGAAACAAAAATAAGACGTCTTTTATATATTCCTAATTTAACATGGATTACCTGGTGCGATTTGGGATTATTCCTTTCTTCACCTCCTGTAAATCTTTATCAACACGACTAGCCAACCAACTGCCCATTTTCCCTCGATACAATGTGTCCACAACATGGAATATATCTCCTCTGGCGAAACTTAGGCCTGAGGGAGAATCTGCTTGATAATCAAAGTGTGTACGTATATAGAAGGAATCCCCAACATTGGACTTTATCATCTTCCTGTAAACTGCAGGAGAAATAACAGAAAGAAAAGGGATATAAATGAATGGTTAGACGTAAAATTTTATTTCGAGACATATAGATCAGGTTCACTTACTGTCCTCTTTGCGTTGGGTGAGAAATATGACCTCTTCGTGCTGCGGCAGGTTCATAAGGTAACTTGCAGCATCTTCGCGTGTCATGCTATGGAAACTAGTGTCGTTTACCTAGAGACAGACACAGCTCAAAGTCTTAAGTTCAAAATGCAAAGTCAAAAAGAATTATTCCTGCACTTTATATTCCTACCTGCAGAATCTGGTCCCCTTCCTTCATTCCCTCACGCGATGCAGGGCTCCCCTCTTGTACTCCAGCCACAAATATTCCCACGTCATTTCCTCCTGCAAGACGCAGACCTACATTGCTCGATTTTGTGAACTGAATGAGGCGAGCATCTGGACTATACCTGGAGTAGTAAATGCAAAACAGGAGCAGGAATAAAGAATTGATGGAGACAAAGCAATAGCAAAGACACAGAGAGAGAGAGAGAGCGCGCAGAATGGCATAGAAACAGAAATGTGGACGCAAGGAATATGGGGCTGTGTGAGAATCAAGAAGGTGCCCAGAGAAGGATAGGGGACTATTACAGTGGATGTGAATGATAAGTGCAGGGAACTAAATGTGACAAAAAGGGAGGCAAACATAAAATAAAGAAAGCGAGGACACAAAATGATACTTTTTATTGTTAAAAAGTAAATGGGAACTAAAGAAATCAGCAGATAAGGGGGATGGTAAGAATAAGCAATGGTAACAGATGAAATATGGTACCCTGCTCGATCCCGTCTCTCCCCCTCATTGGGTCTTACAGGTTCCTCTCTGTATTCCTCAGTTAGCTGTGGAGATTCAACATGACCTAGAAAGAAGGACAAGGTTTGACATCGGGTAAAACACTGCTTCTATTTTCAGTGATGTTCTTTTCCATAAGTATGGAGAGGAGGCACCCTTCAAGAGGTAGAACTTTAGGATGTATCTTACCATTTTGTGGCTTGGGGCTCTCACTCAGAGTTTCACCATTTATCGGAGGACTCTCTCTACAAACAGGAGGTGGAATGAAAATGAGAGAAATTGTAGGAAATCTAATTTTGTAGTAAAATACAGACAGTTTGGGTGAAACTTACAGGGGGATTTCAGAGCTCTCGGAGCTTGTGCGCTGGTGTCCAGGTGGAGGTGGAGGTGGCTGGGAGGGAGGTGGAGAGTGATCAGAATCCAAATCAGAGATATCTAGTGAGACAAAAAAAATAAATTAAAAAAATTCACCAATCCTACCTTCCTCTCCATGGATCATGGTGTCTTTTAGGACATTATGGGATGTTTAAAGGGACATTCTGGGCACCATGGCCAGTTCATCACAATTAAGTTGTAATGGTGCAAAGAGGTGGTGGGTACTGTCTTACCTAAAGTGGTAAAACTATTAATCAGTGGTTTAAACCCAAAATCTGGAACATAGCACCAGATCACTCTGCCCCTCCACTTCCTATGCTGGACCAAGACTTCAAATCAGGAATATATGTACCTTATTCACTCACATTTCAGAATGGGGTGCTTGTGAGAGGCTAAGAGTGTAAGTTGACAAGGCTACCTAAATGAAGCCTTGTGCCTGCATAATAAGTAGAGGGCCAAAGGGATCGGGCATCTGTCTTGACTTTGGTGTTTAATTGTTCATGAATGGTTTAATCCTTTAAGCTAAAAAACAGCAATGTTTTATATTACAGGGTTAAAAGGATAGGGCTACTGCACCCAGTTTACTTAATTGAGAATTAGGTGGTCAGGGTAACGTTATTGTTCCTAAAGTGCCGCATCGAATAAAAAGAATGCCTGGAACCTGATGTGGATCCTTATTTAATGTATCAGTATGTATACCTATCTATATCAACAACCCCAATTGCACCGATGCCTCTCGTCTGCTCTCTGTAACCTCCTCCTTTGGCCTTATGCAATGGTCCAATTTAGCAACCCATACAGAGGGAAACACTCTTGATCTTGCCTTCACCAACCTCTGTCCTGCCTCTAATCTTTCCAATATTCCTTTTCCTCTATCTGACCACCATCTGCTGACTTTTGACATTGGCATACCTAAGACCCAATTGACACCACCGTCTGAACATCACTCTCACAGAGATCTCCAATGTCTCCACTAATCTTCAAACTCTCCTTTTACCTATCTCAAACCTCACCTGTCCTAGTTCTGCAACCTCATTCTACAATTACACCCTCTCCTCTCAACTAGACATCATGGCACCTTCTACATTTAAACGCCAAGCTCACTCGATTTTAACACAGTTTTTACAAAGGGGGACATGGCGGTTACACACCTAAACAGCCGTTTTAGAACTATAGTGTACTCTATAGTGTTACTTTAAATGTTATATATAGGTTACAATGCATTCCTAAATATTTCCCCTTAAGAAACCACACATTCGGAAGCTCTTCATTTCCTTCTTACACCCTCCTCTCACTATCAGGACAATCAGTCATGTATATGTAGACCTCACTAACCTCTCTAGACAGTTTGTAAATCCTCTTTTATTTCCATAGTAAGTATACTCAAAATATACTGTCTTGTAATGCCTTTAAACCAACTATAGTTGGCTCTGCAAAATTATCTAGATAATGTACACTGCTCAAAAAATAAAGGGAACACAAAAATAACACATCCTAGATCTGAATGAATTAAATATTCTTCTGAAATACTTTGTTCTTTACATAGCTGAATGTGCTGACAACAAAGTCACACAAAAATAAAAAAATGGAAATCAAAATTTTCAACCCATGGAGGTCTGGATTTGGAGTCACACTCAAAATTCAAGTGGAAAAACACACTACAGGCTGATCCAACTTTGATGTAATGTCCTTAAAACAAGTCAAAATGAGGCTCAGTAGTGTGTGTGGCCTCCACGTGCCTGTATGACCTCCCTACAACGCCTGTGCATTCTCCTGATGAGGTGGCGGATGGTCTCCTGAGGGATCTCCTCCCAGACCGGGACTAAAACATCTGCCAACACTTGGACAGCCTATGGTGCAATGTGACGTTGGTGGATGGAGCGAGACATGATGTCCCAGATGTGCTCAATTGGATTCAGGTCTGGGGAACGGGCGGGCCAGTCCATAGCATCAATGCCTTCGTCTTGCAGGAACTGCTGACACACTCCAGCCACATTAGGTCTAGCATTGTCTTGCATTAGGAGGAACCCAGGGCTAACCGCATCAGCATATGGTCTCACAAGGGGTCTGAGGAGCTATTAGCTCCACTGAATACAGATATTTAGTTAAAGGGACACTATAGTCACCAAAACAACTTTCTGGTGAGCACGTGGAGGGCTGTGCGGCCCCCCAAAGAAATGCCACCCCACACCATTACTGACCCACTGCCAAACCGGTAATGCTGGAGGATGTTGCAGGCAGCAGAACGTTCTCCACGGCGTCTCCAGACTCTGTCCCGTCTGTCACATGTGCTCAGTGTGAACCTGCTTTCATCTGTGAAGAGCACAATCTTGGTGAAATCTGGCAAATGCCAAACGTCCTGCACGGTGTTGGGCTGTAAGCACAACCCCCACCTGTGGACGTTGGGCCCTCATACCACCCTCATGGAGTCTGTTTCTGACCGTTTGAGCAGACACATGCACATTTGTCGCGTGTTGGAGGTCATTTTGCAGGGCTCTGGCAGTGATCCTCCTGTTCCTCCTTGCACAAAGGCGGAGGTAGCGGTCCTGCTGCTGGGTTGTTGCCCTCCTATGGCCTCCTCCATGTCTCCTGATGTGCTGGCCTTTCTCCTGGTAGCGCCTCCATGCTCTGGTCACTACTCTGACAGACACAGCAAACCTTCTTGCCACAGCTCGCATTGATGTGCCATCCTGGATGAGCTGCACTACCTGAGCCACTTGTGTGGGTTTGTAGACTCCGTCTCATGCTACCACTAGAGTGAAAGCACCGCCAGCATTCAAAAGTGACCAAAACATCAGCCAAGAAGCATAGGAACTGAGAAATGGTCTGTGGTCACCACCTGCAGAACCACTCCTTTATTGGGGGTGTCTTGCTAATTGCCTATAATTTCCACCTGTTGTCTATCCCATTTGCACAACAGCATGTGAAATTGATTGTCACTCAGTGTTGCTTCCTAAGTGGACAGTTTGATTTCACAGAAGTGTGATTGACTTGGAGTTACAGTGTGTTGTTGAAGTATTCCCTTTATTTTTTTGAGCAGTGTAAATATCTATACCTACAGATCTATTTCAGAGCACAAAATTGCCACTAGCCATTGGTGAGTGAAAATTTAGCTCTGGCAAGTAGATATTTACCCCTACATATATATTTGAAGATTTTAAAGGCACACTATACAACCTTAGCTGAACCTTAGCTAAAACAACCTTAGCTTAATCAAGCAGTTTTGGTTTATAGATTATTCCCCTGCAGTCTCACTGCTTAATTATCTTCCATTTAGGAGTTAAATCACATTTATACAGTCCTAGTCACACCTCCCTGTATGTGACTAACACAGCCAACACTTCCTGTAAATAGTCATCTAATGTTTACACTTCATTTATTGCAAATTATGTTTCATTTACAATTTCTGATCTCCTGATCTGTTAATAGCTTGCTAGACAATGCAGGAGCCTCCAGTGTGTTATTAAAGTTCAATTTATAGAGCAGGAGATAAAAAAAATATTAAAAGTTACATCGCATTGAAATAAAACCATTTTGTTTTCATATAGGCTGTATCAGTCAGAGCCAGGGAAGGTGTGGCTATGGCTGTATAAACATGAACAAAAGTCCTTTTAACTCCTATATGGCAGTGAATTGAGCAGTGAAACTTCAGAGAAATAATCTATACACCCAAACTGCATCATTACGCTAAAGTTGTTTTGGTGACTATAGTGTCCCTTTAACTAAATATCTGTATTCAGTGGAGCTAAGCTAAAGAGGCAGCAATTGCCCAGAGCTCCTGTCTTGCAAAGACTTCTCATTGAGCTGCATTGTGAAGTCTGATTTTACAGCCACAGAAAGTCTAGACGGGGTTAAAAGAGGGTTTTGCAAGCGGTGTTTAGATATATCTTATAAAAAAAAAAAAGAAAAATGCACAATTACATGCGTGTGATTTTTATTTATTTTAAATTATTTGGTCGGTGGAGTGTCCCTTTAAATACAACTATCCCAAATCCTTTGCGTGTCACCAGTTGATATTTCCTACCTTCTCGAGGGGAGCTTCTGTCCTCACTCTCACTGTCCATCACTTCTGGAATGTTGACAAGGAATTGCCGATTATCCCTCAAGACAGTAAGTGTCAATTTGCCTTTAGACTTCTCGATAAGCTGGCGAGTGTCTCCCAATGACATGTTCTCACTGACTACCCCATTGATCTAAGGAGAAAATCCAAACTCTACAATCAGGAACTGGGATAAAAGTTGAAGTGGGGTGACGCCTGTATATATACCTGGCCTATAAAAAAATGATAGAACTCCTCCTGGACAAAGACTGTCTTACATTGTTCTAGGTGTAAAAAAAATATCTCACATGCATTACAAAAACAGTAATGAGTAGTGATACAAAAAGTGTCAATTACAACACACATATAATTAAGGTAGAGGTGGAATATGTTGCATTACCTTGAGAATGAGGTCTCCTTCCTGAAGAGATCTTTCTTGTGCAGCCAGTCCAGTTTCTGTGATATGTTTAATGAAGATCTGGCTACCCAACTTGAGACCATATTCTGTGATAGATGAAAGTGAGAGTGGGAGAGATTTATATAAACTGACCGAAGAAGTCCCCAACCCATTTAATATACGTGGGGAGTTGTGTGTTAGTTTAGCAGAGGTCGGAAGGAGGATAGAGCCTGAAACAAAATAAAATATAAAAAATAAAAAGATCTGGTACAATCAAATTAATACATGATAAAACATACCTTGTTTATCCATGCGTTTTACTAACACAGTCTTTACAGGCTTGGCTGGTGCATTCTGAGGAGGAAGCCTTTTAAACCCTGACACAAGCTGCAGTCCATTATGATTTCTATTTCCAGCTTCGCTGCCAGAGTTGCCAACTTCACTTTCGTTCTCTCTCATTCTGGAATAACTTGCTGCCTCGCTACCAGAACCTCCCCTCTCACTTTCCCGGTCTCTCCTCTGGCGATAAGATGCTGCTTCACTACCAGACCCTGCAACATCTCTTCCAGAACCTCTTTTTCTTGGGTAACTGCCTGCTTCACTACCAGTACCCCTTGTCCTGCGATGCCTAGAATGGTGAGAGGATGGCCTAAAAGAGCCTCCAGAGCTTCGGCCACTTGAGGAATCTCCTTCATAACCCCTTGCAGTGTCCTCAGGAGGCTCCCGATTTGAGCTTTCATATCTCCCTCTCCAAGGTAATGGAGAATCTGGCTCCTCGGTTTCTCCTGTGCGGGAGCCTTCCCAATACGGACCATCAGAGGATCGGGGAGTTCGTGTGGAGTATGTGGGGCCTGTTGATGCTGTCGGCACAGAATTACTTGCAGGAATCTGAATTTTTCGTGGTCGTTTCACTGTCTAGGAGTAGAAAAGAAGCACTGCTTAAAAGCGGGAAATTACGTTAAAATTTCAAGCCTTACACTACTAACCATGACTTAAAAAGGTACTCTCCACTGTAAGCCTGGAGAGTCCATGACATTTTTTTACAAGGGGTGAATTTCTTCCTGTGAGGACCAATAGTGGAAATTTTGAGCTAGAGGTTCAGTGCTGCACTAGTGCTCACACGCTGAGGGGGCACATTGGGTGACTAAGGGCCACGCGATGGGCATGTGTCTTCAGGGGCCCGGTCTTGCCCTGCAGCCCTTTAACAGAGAGATTGGGGCCCCTTTATTAAGAGCAGCCAATGCTGGGAGGAAGTGAGAGATGCTCATTTCCTCCCAGATAACACAGAGCCGCGTGGGAGGGAGGTGTGTGTGTCAGGGTGTATCTTTATGTGTGTTGGTCTTTGTATATCTCCGTATGTATCTGTCTTTGTGTCTGTATATCTCCTTGTGTATCTGTCTTTGTGTATCTGTGTTTCTGTATGCAAGTCGGTATTTGACACACATGCAGACACAAACACCCACACTGACACACAGTGTGTGTAGCGGTGTGTCTATATCTCAGCATCTTGCAAACCCTACACACAAATACACCCCCTTCATTCACTCACACATACTCCATACAAGCACATGCCTACATTCAAACATACAAAACACTGTTCAGTGCTAAATACAACCCTGCATGCATGGGCAAATGGTAGAGCATTGTTGGAGTTATACGACGGATTGGGAAACTACCTTTTGGCCACCACTGCGATTGGAGAGGGTGGAATCCACCATTCTGCATCACACCAGGACAACAACAAATACTGTTGTCAGAGACTCCCTTAAATTCCAAAACTTTGTATCGCTGCCATTCCAGTTCCATAAACCATGTTTCATATTCCACGTGCATTACTACATAGTACAATGAAATGACAGCTCACCACATTAGCAACCTTGCTGCAGGCTTTCAGCGTGTGGATAGCAAATGACGAGGCCACATTCTCCATGGAGGCACCATTAACCATAACAATGCGATCACGAGTCCTTTGGAGAAACACAGTAGTGCAAGAGTGATAAAATGGTCTCATAAAATCACAGTAGCAAAATAAAACCAAACATTACCGCCTAGTATAAAAAGAGGAACTGCATCATTAATGAGGTTTTTTTTTGTTTTGTTTTTAAATGACAAAAACAATGGCGATAGAGGAAATTTTATACCATCATAAAGGGTTAGGCCAACCCTTTTTCATTATGTTTTTTTTTTTTTTACCTATAGATACCTATGACCAGGTAATTGTTCCTTTTTAATTTTTTTTAAAACAGGTTGCAGGTTAGGTGTTCCGTTCTGTTCATAAAACACAGAGCAATGAAAAGAATTTTGTGTTGAACGTAACAGACATAACGAACAATAACTTGGTAAAGCGTGATAATACTTACTGCAGTCTACCATCAGCAGGGCCACCGCGAACAACATCTGACACAATGACCGAGTTATCGCCATCTGATTTTGATGGGTGGTCTCTACCTCCAGAAACAGCAAAACCAAAGCCTCGACGAGGATCCTGGAAAACCAAAAAAGTGACAGTGCTGCATTGGATGCGTATTATTGAATATACTAGTGTCTGGCCTTGGGCCTGCTAAAGTACTTATATAATGCGTGCTCTAAAATTGCAATGCCATGACCCGATAAAACCAAAATATGAAGGTCACAGGATAAAAGCAGCCCTGTGGCGTAAGGTTTTTAAATTGGTAAAGTCAGAATTAATTCACTAAACATCAAGATTGTAAAAAAAAACCTTGAAATCTCATAACAGCTCCGCCCCCACCCACGCCCCTAAAATTAAAGTGTCCCTATGTGTCCATTTGAAATGTCGGAGGTATGTTACGCACACCCTCTATATCCAATATAGATGGTCAGTTCATTACCAACACTGGATTGTTCATCACATCACTCTAGTGAATGTTATTCTCAGACATAAATGAGGGTAAAAAGATCCTTGTAAAAAGATAGCATCCGCGAGTAAACACAGCTTTGTGTACTTGTACAAGAATGTTGCAATAGTTTTAAAGCCAGAGGTTTGCTTCACACTATTGTTTTGGTTTATTTATTTTTTTAAAAAGCCTTCTTAAATAACGCAGATTACTACAAAAACCCTAAACAGTCCAATGTCATTCAGGCATATCCTTAGGAAACCGTAATTTAAAAACATAGGCATCTTATCGACGAGCTGGGTTACCTACGCAGAATAACCCCACCAAAAACATAAATGGGAAATGCATGGTGCGTAAAGAACATTAACAATTTATTATATAGGACGATGAAACAAGTCACTAGAATCATTGCAATAATACTGACCTACTGCCCTTCCAGATATTTTAGGTAAAGACATACAATAATATATTTGTGCGAGCAAATGGGTGTAAGAATTGAACTAAGTGGGTATAATATAGGATGATCAGTAAATGTCACAGAAGAAATGGTTTTCACATAAAAACATCAGGGACCTGCATGGATTGAGGTGAGAAGTCCATCTTGGCTGTAGAACCTTTTCGAACACAATTTCGAGTTCTAATATTGTGCACGGTGTTCTGCAGCAATGACAAATTCTGGAAAAACAACCCCCGCAGCCGAACATCAGAACATGTTCACCATTAATGACTGCAGAGGTAATCATAAAATGATTGAGAAGCCAAGCAGAACACTCACATGTTAGTAAGGCCATGAAAATGCTTGTATACAAAACCAAGACTGCATCAAACAAAGTAAAATATATGACAAAATGGGTAACATGTCGATTTCGTTTTTTTTCCCTTTTTTCTATCTCCAACAGGTATGAACGTGGAATGGTGGTGGCAGTGATGCATTTGGTACAGTTGGTCATGGGTAGGTACACAAGGCAGATCCTTTAATGCCAGCCCAGCACGCATGGTTAGATGCAGATAATCAACCATTTTGGGGGAGGGTGTCCAGGATTAATCAGGCGTCTAAGCATTCACATTACTTAAAAGTATTTATGGAATTTACAAGGCCAAAATATTTTATTTACAAAGGATAATTCCCCTAACACATTTACAAGAATTAAGAAGTTTATTGCTCTGAACCGGTCACAGACTCATTGACACTAAAAGAACTCCTACAAAAGAGGGTCTTTAAAAACATCATAGAAACAGAAATGGACCTTCCTAAATAGACATGATCATGTATTATGGAGCTCCAAACCTTACAGGGTCATTCAATAAAGTTTGCATTCAAAGTGGAATTTCAAATTTAAGGCCAAACTGGAAAGAAATGGAAATATGCTTTAAGTTAGCAATGATTTCAGTTCAATTATTCTAGACTTCAATTTGAAATTCTCTCTGAATTCAATCTGAATCGTCACTGGAGTGAATTCCCTCTATCAGGAGTTACTTACTAAAGTGAGAATTCAAAGTGAATTTCAAAAGTTGGAAGAATTCTCCGGGTCAATTCTGTTTTCAGTTTTGCAATTTCATTCTTCAATTGCTAAATGAACTTTGAATTCCTGGCAATTATCACTGTAGTTTCACACAAATGTGGTTTAGGAGCAGTGTTGGAAGAATTGTTCTTAATTTCAATTTTAAATGAAGATACACAAATTCCCAGTGTGTTATAATGGATGTGAGGTACTCAGACACCTGTGTGGAATCCCCTTAACCCACATCGATAAACTCGAAAAGTTCAAAGTCAAAATATACATACAATAGGTGGAGTGTCACGTTTCCAATAGGTAATAGACGTATATAAACAATACACGGAATAGAATGATCTGTAATAGGAAAAAAGAGACGGAATCCTTGTGCAATATTGTCAATATTAGTAACTATGGGACATCTATGTAATGATGTTCACTCACAAACTTTGAGCCTAAGGATTATTGGCTCCATGTGTAGGCTTGTTAGGATGTTTAGGGATCCAACTCCCTCTTTTGGATACTGGCTCTATTTCAAGGTCTGATGCATAACCAAAGCCTTCACGAGAAGCAAAAGTCCTCTTGTATGGGCAACGAGAAAGAGAGCATAAATCTACTTCTGTTTAGTTAAAAAGACCTTTACTACTGATTGAATGAGGACAGAAGTTGGACAACCATCAGATATCAACGCAGGAGGCACGTGTAACAATGTTTTTTTGAAGCCCTTTATTCCCCACATGCTTGGTTGTTCATGCACACCCCATCTAGCATGTAATTCAAATATCAAAACACCCCACGAATCCCTGTCCACAAAGCACCAATCACGGTGACGTGCAAGCCGAGGAATGTTTATTTCGCTTTACTTCCGCTACACGTTACCCCAATGCCCCTTTAAATATTAGTTAATGAAATCAGCAAAAAATGTTTCATAAAAAAAGGCAAAGAGTTGTTTACTACCAAAACCCTCCCTTTTGTGTTTGTTTTCATATTAATTTTACATTTTGTTAGCAAAAAATACAATCCTATAAATATAGCCTCTATTACAAAGAAATCTTATTTATTTTTTTGCCCAAAGTGACCAGACTAAACTTAAATTATTGCCTAATGTTTAAATAGGTGCTCTTCTTTATCACCGATTTTAATGCAAGTGCATTGAAAACTATTTAAATAACAGAATCGGTTAAAAAGGCAAAAGATTAGCGTTAGAAGTCGGATCATGAGACTGGCTGTAAAAACAAGATTTTATTTTTGTGAGAGTAAAAACAGACAGATGTGTCTTTGCTCTGTAGAACACAAGTATGGTAAGACAGAAACCATTCCTTTGTGTCGCCGTATACTTCCATAGAAAGTAACATTTCATTATTCCTCTAAATGGAAACTTTCAACGCACTTGATAATGTTTTGGCTGCTGCTCAACTCTCTAAGGAACACCGCTCAGGTTTAATTCTCTAAAATACGCAGTTACTGTGTCTAAAAAGAAAATTACAGGGAGAACCTTGGGCTGTCACATATGAGTTTGTTTTTGCTTTTATGTGTTTGCTTAGGGTCTGCTTAAAGGACCACTATAGTGCCAGGAAAACATACTCGTTTTCCTGGCACTATAGTGCCCTGAGGGTGCCCCCACCCTCAGGGTCCCCCTCCCGCCCGGCTCTGGAAGGGGAAAGGGGTAAAAACTTACCTTTTTCCAGCGCTGGGCGGAGAGCTCTCCTCCTCCGATCCTCCTTCTCTCCTCCCCGTCGGCTGAATGCGCACGCGCGGCAAGAGCTGCGCGCGCATTCAGCTGGTCACATAGGAAAGCATTCATAATGCTTTCCTATGGACGCTTGCGTGCTCTCACTGTGATTTTCACAGTGAGAATCATGCAAGCGCCTCTAGCGGCTGTCAATGAGACAGCCGCTAGAGGCTTTGGGGGAAGGCTTAACCCATTTATAAACATAGCAGTTTCTCTGAAACTGCTATGTTTATAAAAAAAAAGGGTTAACCCTAGCTGGACCTGGCACCCAGACCACTTCATTAAGCTGAAGTGGTCTGGGTGCCTAGAGTGGTCCTTTAAGTTAAAAAGTAAATTCAGACATGGACCCCATGCTCACGCACAAGGCCCGACAAAGGTGATCAACTGGGGTTGCCTCATCTTTCCAGCAAAGACAACTTGCTAGCATTTTGGCACTGCACTGCCCTTATGGGTAGGATCAATCAGCTATGCATTTGGTATCCGTTCTCGCTATAATGGCACATATGAGCAAACATTTGTTTGAGAGCTGAGCATGGTCCATCCAACGAAGGTACAGTTACTAAAAGGTTTTCATTTTAAAAAAATGTTTTGCTTTAAACGCAGGCTTCCCCAAACTCTGGCCCTCCAGATGTTGCTGAACTACGACTCCCATGATTCTATGAATGACATAGATAGGACGGTAGTAGTAGTTCAGCAACATCTTCAGGGCCAGAGTTTGGGGAAGCCTGCTTTAAAGATTATTAGATGGTTGAAAGGAACACTATAGCGATTGGAATATAACATCCTAGTCATTATTTAGGTGACTGTCACTCACCCCCACGAGGGTTAAAAGGGTAGCTTACTTTTTTACAGTCTCCCTCTACACCGCAGGACTCTCTCTGGTTCCCCCACCTCCTTCGCTGAGATTATCTTGATGATAATCATAGGAAAGCTTTGGGTGTTTAATGCACATGTGCAGGAGACCTGATTGATATAGCCAAGTTTTAATTGACTATCAGTGGAATTTCATAGTAACAACCATTAGAGACTTTCAAACCCTGCACTGCAAACATTGCGGTAACTGCAGAACGGCAATGTTTTACTTTGCAGGTTTGAAATGACAGGGACATGGAACCAAGACCACGTAATTGAGATGAACTGGTCTGGGTGTCTATAGTGTCCCTTTAAATAAATACCCTGTTGAACCTACTAAAGTTGAACGAAAGAAAGCTATAGATACTTGGAATCTCCCTCCTTGGATTGAAGCAGAAATTTACAAATCTATTTTCAGAATAAATAGCTGCCTAGTAGGAAAAAAACAAAACCAGATGGGGCTGCCCCAACAGACAACCTTCAGGTAGAGAGTGTGGGGAAACCTACATATGAGCCTCTGCTTTGCAGAAGATCAACACTTACCAAGAGAGGACAAGGACAAGATCCCACTGGATGGAGGTAGAAGAAGGGATCCTTGGATTTGTGTTCTTATAACCACATAGAAGGAAGTACATGTGTCAGCAAGCATGACCAGACAAGGTCTATCTCTCGGAGTAATAAATGAAAACAGCAAGGATAGAGAAATCGGATACACATCCTATCTAGCTCTAGCTGTGGAAGAACCTGGGCCTCTCCATAAATAACTAGATATAAGCTTTAGGGAAAGGAGTTTCTAAGAAAACTATTGGGGAGTAACATACAGTTGCAAGAAAATGTATGTGAACCCTTTGGAATGATATGGATTTCTGCACAAATTGGTCATAAAATGTGATCTGATCATCATCTAAGTCACAACAATAGACAATCACACAGTCTGCTTAAACTAATAACACACAAAGAATGAAATGTTGCCATGTTTTTATTGAACACACCATGTAAACATTCACAGTGCAGGTGGAAAAGTATGTGAACCCCTAGACTAATGACATCTCCAAGAGCTAATTGGAGTGAGATGTCAGCCAACTGGAGTCCAATCAATGAAATGAGATTGGAGGTGTTGGTTACAGCTGCCCTGCCCTATAAAAAAAACACACACCAGTTCTGGGTTTGCTTTTCACAAGAAGCATTGCCTGATGTGAATGACGCCTCGCACAAAAGAGCTCTCAGAAAACCTACGATTAAGAATTGGTGACTTGTATAAAGCTGGAAAGGGTTATAAAAGTATCTCCAAAAGCCTTGCTGTTCATCAGTCCACGGTAAGACAAATTGTCTATAAATGGAGAAAGTTCAGCACTGCTGCTACTCTCCCTAGGAGTGGCCGTCCTGTAAAGATGACTGCAAGAGCACAGCGCAGACTGCTCAATGAGGTGAAGAAGAATCCTAGAGTGTCAGCTAAAGACTTACAAAAGTCACTGGCAAATGCTAACATCCCTGTTAGCGAATCTACAATACGTAAAACACTAAACAAGAATGGATTTCATGGGAGGATACCACAGAGGAAGCCACTGCTGTCCAAACAAAACATTGCTGCACGTTTACAGTTTGCACAAGAGCACCTGGATGTTCCACAGCAGTACTGGTAAAATATTCTGTGGACAGATGAAACCAAAGTTGAGTTGTTTGGAAGAAACACACAACACTATGTGTGGCGGAAAAAAGGCACAGCACACCAACATCAAAACCTCATCCCAACTGTGAAGTATGGTGGTGGGGGCACCATGGTTTGGGGCTGCTTTGCTGCGTCAGGGCTTGGACGGATTGCTATCATCGAAGGAAAAATGAATTCCCAAGTTTATCAAGACATTTTGCAGGAGAACTTAAGGCCATCTGTCTACCAGCTGAAGCTCAACAGAAGATGGGTGTTGCAACAGGACTATGACCCAAAGTATAGAAGTAAATCAACAACAGAATGGCTTAAACAGAAGAAAATACACCTTCTGAAGTGGCCCAGTCAGAGTCCTGACCTCAACCCGATTGATATGCTGTGGCATGACCTCAAGAAAGCGATTCATACCAGACATCCCAAGAATATTGCTGAACTGAAACAGTTCTGTAAAGAGGAATGGTCAAGAATTACTCCTGACCGTTGTGCAAGTCTGATCTGCAACTACAGGAAACGTTTGGTTGAAGTTATTGCTGCCAAAGGAGGTTCAACCAGTTATTAAATCCAAGGGTTCACATACGTTTTCCACCTACACTGTGAATCTTTACATGGTGTGTTCGATAAAAACATGGCAACATTTCATTCTTTGTGTGTTATTAGTTTAAGCAGACTGTGATTGTCTATTGTTGTGACTCAGATGATGATCAGATCACATTTTATGACCAATTTGTGCAGAAATCCATATGATTCCAAAGGGTTCACATACTTTTTCTTGCAACTGTACATTTAATTACCAGGGCTCCCTCTAGGTGTTGATACAAATAGATGCTCTGTGCAGCAGTGACCAATAACCAATCTGAATTGGACAATTATCACAAGCCAAGCTCTCCAGAATTAAACCAGGCTAAGCCAGGGCTTCGTCCTGAAGATAGACAGGAGAAGCTAGGACTCTCTAGCCATCAATTCTCTTTAAAGGTGGCCACACAATTAATGCAGGACTTGGTTAGAACGCAAGTCAGACCAAGCTTTTGTCTTGTATCATAGAATGACACAGGCACCCCTGGCACCGTGTACCCTGCCTAAAGACCATGTCTTTTTCTCACACACAGTGGCCATGTAGCTTCACAGCTACCTGATCCTGTTTTTTTAGCTGCTCCTGTAAGATTTTTAATGGCTTATTCTGCTGTAAACCCTGAGGGAAAAAGCCTAATTTCACGGTCAGATACTCACCACAGCAGACTACACCTTGCAGGTTCGAACTGCATCATTTTATTACATTTATACCTGCTGGAAACTGAGGCCTAGTGGGCTGCCAACCTAGAATCTGGGAGAAGCGGCAAATCTCTACATTGAGCCCCGTTAACCCCCAACCAAAACCCCCTCTCCTTTGGATCAGTTGGGGATATCCCAGTCCCCACTGGGAAAGCTACAAACACTACTCGACTCTACCCCAGCTGCTCTGGTGAACCACGTGGCAGGTCCACTCGGAAAGTCATCCGACCCACCGTCAATCTACCCCGAGGGCCACCTGTGTACCAAAGATTCTAGGGGTCCATGATCATGCCATTCGGTGCACAAAGGTCCTTGGACACAGGCCCTGATAAGGCCTGGGGCTTTGAGAGCTGTGGGGCAGCAACGCAGTGGGCTGTCCCCTAACTACCAGCTTGGCAATCAGCTATCCTTCTAATCACCTGAAGGGAACCAAGGAAACATTGTGCTTGGCAAAGAGAATGTCCCCACACTGTGGCCAGCTAGCGGTGTTAGGTGACTCCTAGCTGCTCAACTCCTGTTGATAACCAACACAAAATAAATATATTTTCCTTTATTTATTTTTTTGTTTTACTATCAGTTATGGACAAAGTGATATATTCTTTTGGTGTTGACCTTGATTTCCAGTGGTATTTAACTCAATACGATCAGCTATAACTGAACGCCTTTTAGCCTCGACTCTTTAATGTTGTATTTAGTCTATATGAGCATCTTAGCCTCTTGTTTAAATTGAGATATCAGTTTATTGTCCATGGTCTTATTTAATCGTCTTGCAGTGTGTACTGTAGTACAATTTCTGTTGAATATGATTATTCCTGTCTATGCTACTTAGCTTGTTCTGGCATTGCATACTGGCTTTAAAATATAAATGGAGCCAGTACACTAGTCCTCATTTTGTTATCCTCTTTATGTCTCAGCTTGTTTTCTAAAAATATAAAAATGTGCAACTTCTTCTTATGCCATTACACTGTATAGGTTTGAGTCTGCAATAAGCTTGCCATTGTTGTTGTGGCATCACAAGCCTGTATGTCTTTCCTTGCACTATAAAAACAAAGAATAAAAAAAAAAAAAAAAGAAACTATCAGGAGAGAGAATGAAAAGCATGAGGAGACACATTTCTGGTGTAATCAAAGAGTTCTCGCATCCACAAGACTGTGCATATTTTTTTCCTTTAAGTGCATGTATATTTTCCCCTGACAAACTTGCATTTTAAAACGAGATAAGATTTACTTTTGTATTACAATCTATTCGCTCTTCCCCCCCCAACAAAAAAGGGACATTATAGTCACCAGAACATTGCTCACTATGGACACCTCCAGTAACAGTCACTCAGACGGCCACTTGAGCAGCTTCCTGGGTCAGTGCTGCACATTGTGCTGCACTGATGTTCAGCATCTCCACGCTCTGCATGGAGGTGCTGAATTTCTCCCATAGAAATGCATTCAGTCAATGCCAATTGGCCAGCGGGGCATTTGGCTCTGCCACCCTGCCTCCTTGGTGATATCAGAAATGACAATATCAGCCAATCCAATAATTCCCCACATGAAAGCAAAGGATTGTCTGAGATCATCGGTTTTGATGATCTCAGCCAAGTAGGTGGATCGGGGCGGAGTCGGCACTAACAGACTCACGGGGTGTTGGATAAAAGTGAAGTTTTCTATTTTTTTAAATTTAGGCCCATGATATCTGCAGACATAGACATAACGTTAATCTTGTAGATGTGTCAATTTCCGGGAAAACCTGGAATTATTAGCGTTCCCTTATAACTGTATTCCTGTAGAAGAAAAATATCCTGTACAGTGACAGTTAAAGGGTCACTATAGGCACCAAAACAACTTTAGCTTAATGAAGCTGTTTTGGTGTATAGATCATGCCCAGCAGTCTCACTGCTGAATTCTCTGCCATTTAGGAGTTAAATCACTATGTTTATACTTACCTAGCCTTCCTAAGCATTTCCTGTAAAGAGAGATCTAATGTTTAAAAACATTCATTATTTCACAGTTTGTTTAATTTAGAATTGCTCATCTCCTACTCGGTTAATAGCCTTCTAGACTCTGCAGTCTCCTGTGTGTGATTAATGCTCAATTTACATAGCCGGAGATAAAAACTTCTAAAGCAAGTTAGCATCTGATTGAAAAATAAATCTTTTTTTCCTCATACATGCTGTGTCAATGACAGCAAGGGGAGATGAGGCTATGGATGTTTAAAAAAAAAAAAAAAAAAAAAAAAAGAGAAAGTGATTTAACTCATAAATGGTAGACAACTGAGCAGTGAGACCCTGCCATACCTACCGTGCCTCAACACCAAGTCTTCAGTTACACTACCCCAAGTCAAACCTTGGGAGGTCTCCAAAAGTCCTCGATGGCATTATATTTCCATAATACACAGTTCATCACAGATATTATCCAGACACACACTTCTGTGTTTTCTGAATAAAACCTAATTATAATTTTTTTTATAATCAGCCTATTTATGAATCCACACAAAACTTTACATTCATTGTTGGTAACAATTAAAAATATTATAGACTGTTAAGATACAGAGTTTGAAATGTAAAACCGGTTCATGAACCAAATAACGTCTGTAGCATTTCTGTAATATTATAGCTGAACATACAAGCACACATGCTAGCCGCCACCACATTCATCAGAAACATGACTTCATCATAGTTTATGAAAGATCAGAGCCATGTAGAAAACCCAGTTTAAGAATGTGTAAAATAATCTGTTAGTTAGAGAGTAGGTGGGTGGGATTAAAAATCCACCCTTCTCAAATATTTAGACAGAAACTCAGAGGTCAGAATTCAACTACACAAGTTGAAACCTCCAAGACGAACACAAAGTATAAAACTAAATCAAAATTAAAAACAGATACTAGCACACCATAAATCATCTATGCGGAGACGGTATAAACATTTCTACAAGGAAGAAGTACCTTGCAAAATAATGCTTTTATTAGTTAAAAAAAAAAAAAAAAAAAAACCACAATAAATTAATTAAAATATATGATCATACGTTTCCAGCAAAATGAACCTTTCCTTTTTGTTGAGCAGTGTGTAACAGCATGGTATATGGCATTATTTTCCTTTGGTTGAATTTACCAATCACAGTCATCAAACATGCAAAAATATATATATATATTTTTTTTAATAATATTTTTATATAAACATGTTTTTATTTTATTTTTAAACTGCATTAGTGAAATGGTTAGGAAATGGTTTGTCTAGAGTCAATACAGTCCTTACATTGGCTTCCTGTATCCTATAGGAGTCAATTCAAAGTGCTAACCCATACCTATGAAGCATTGACCAATTCTAACCCGTCTTAGATCTCCTCACAGATCCATAGGTATGCCCCTTCTCGGCCTCTCCACTCTGCCCGTGACCACCTCCTGATCGCTGCTCGCACCCATACGGCCAATTCGCGCTTGCAGGACTTCTCACGGGCGGTTCCCTTCCTATGGAATAGCCTGCCTACCCCCATCAGACTCTCCCCTAGTCTTTAATCGTTTAAGAAGTGCCTTAAAAACCATCTCTTTAGGAAAGCTTATGGCCTCCCAGAGTAACCTCTACCTCACATACCTGTCTTTTGCTCTCTCCATAAGGGCAGCACTTTACTCTCTCCTCCAGCTCTGCTTCACTCCCACCTTATTTGATTGATATTTCCTGTCCTAATGTGTTTTACACTCCACCTCCTATAGACTGTAAGCTCGTTGGAGCAGGGTCCTCTTCGACCTATTGTTCCTGTAAGTTTTTTTGTAATGGTCCTAATTATTGCCAAATCCCCCCTCTCAGAATATTGAATCTGTTGGCGCTATATAAATGGCAATAATAATAATAATAATAATAATAATAATAATAATGTTACAGTTAATGTCACTGGGGGGATGGGGCAGAAGGGGGGGGAATGAACATCGGTTTTGTCCCACAATCCATTTGTACCTTGATATATACCTCAAAAGAACATGCATTGAGCATTTATGGGTAAGCTGAAGAGAAGAGGATTTATTGAACATGCCCACTTTACTGCTCTGGGGTAACCTGGCTTCAAAATATTCACACAAATACAGTTGCAGGAAAAAGTATGTGAACCCTTTGGAATGATATGTATTTCTGCACAAATTGGTCATAAAATGTGATCTGATCATCATCTAAGTCACAACAATAGACAATCACAGTCTGCTTAAACTAATAACACACAAAGAATGAAATGTTGCCATGTTTTTATTGAACACACCATGTAAACATTCACAGTGCAGGTGGAAAAAGTATGTGAACCCCTAGACTAATGACATCTCCAAGAGCTAATTGGAGTGAGATGTCAGCCAACTGGAGTCCAATCAATGAGATGAGATTGGAGGTGTTGGTTACAGCTGCCCTGCCCTATAAAAAACACACACCAGTTCTGGGTTTGCTTTTCACAAGAAGCATTGCCTGATGTGAATGATGCCTCGCACAAAAGAGCTATCTGAAGACCTACGATTAAGAATTGGTGACTTGTATAAAGCTGGAAAGGGTTATAAAAGTATCTCCAAAAGCCTTGCTGTTCATCAGTCCATGGAAAGACAAATTGTCTATAAATGGAGAAAGTTCAGCACTGCTGCTACTCTCCCTAGGAGTGGCCGTCCTGTAAAGATGACTGCGAGAGCACAGCGCAGACTGCTCAATGAGGTGAAGAAGAATCCTAGAGTGTCAGCTAAAGACTTAGAAAAGTCACTGGCAAATGCTAACAGCCCTGTTAGCGAATCTATAATACGTAAAACACTAAACAAGAATGGATTTCATGGGAGGATACCACAGAGGAAGCCACTGCTGTCCAAACAAAACATTGCTGCACGTTTACCGTTTGCACAAGAGCACCTGGATGTTCCACAGCAGTAATATATTCTGTGGACGGATGAAACCAAAGTTGATTTGTTTGGAAGAAACACACAACACTATGTGTGGGGAAAAAAAGGCACACCAACATCAAAACCTCATCTCAACTGTGAAGTATGGTGGTGGGGGCATCATGGTTTGGGGCCGCTTTGCTGCGTCAGGGCCTGGACGGATTGCTATCATTGAAGGAAAAATGAATTCCCAAGTTTATCAAGACATTTTGCAGGAGAACTTAAGGCCATCTCTCTACCAGCTGAAGCTCAACAGAAGATGGGTGTTGCAACAGGACTATGACCAAAAGCATAGAAGTAAATCAACAACAGAATGGCTTAAACAGAAGAAAATACGCCTTCTGAAGTGGCCCAGTCAGAGTCCTGACCTCAACCCGATTGAGATGCTGTGGCATGACCTCAAGAAAGCGATTCATACCAGACATCCCAAGAATATTGCTGAACTGAAACAGTTCTGTATAGAGGAATGGTCAAGAATTACTCCTGACCGTTGTGCACGTCTGATCTGCAACTACAGGAAATGTTTGGTTGAAGTTATTGCTGCCAAAGGAGGTTCAACCAGTTATTAAATCCAAGGGTTCCCATACTTTTTCCACCTGCACTGTGAATGTTTACATGGTGTATTCAATACAAACATGGCAACATTTCATTCTTTGTGTGTTATTAGTTTAACCCCTTAAGGACGGAGCCAAATGTACACGTTGTGAACAAAACAAAATGTAAACAAAACCTGGCATTTGCGCTACATGTCTGTCCAACCGTAATTCACCTCTTTCATAGTAAATGCACCCACCCTTATTATATATCATTTTATTCAGGGGAAACAGGGCTTTCATTTAATATCAAATATTTAGCTATGAAACATAATTTAATATGAAAAAAATGGGAGAAAATACGATTTTTTTGGATTTTTTTAGTTCTACATGACATTTTAACGGTCAGTGTCATAATACTGTTTGCTTTTACTGCAATAAAATACACATATTTGTATTCAGCAAAGTCTCACGTGTAAAACAGTACCCCCTATGTACAGGTTTTATGGCGTTTTGGGAAGTTACAGGGTCAAATATAGCACGTTACATTTGAAATTGAAATTCGCCAGATTGGTTACGTTGCCTTTGAGACTGTATAGTAGCCCGGGAATGAAATTTACACCCATAATGGCATACCATTTGCAATAGTAGACAACCCAAGGTATTGCAAATGGGGTATGTCCAGTCTTTTTAGTAGCCATTTGGTCACAAACACTGGCCAAAGTTAGCGTTAGTATTTGTTTGTGTGTGAAAAATGCAAAAAACGCCAATTTTGGCCAGTGTTTGTGACTAAGTGGCTACTAAAAAAGACTGGACATACCCTGTTTGCAATACCTTGGGTTGTCTACTATTGCAAATGGTATGCCATCATAGGGGTAATTTTCATTCTTGGGCTACCATAGGGTCTCAAAGGCAACGTAACCAATCTGGCGAATTTTAATGTGAAAAAAATGAAACGCAAGCCTTATATTTGACGCTGTAACTTTTGAAAACACTATAAAACCTGTACATGAGGGGTACTGTTGTACTCGGGAGACTTCACTGAACACAAATATTTGTGTTTCAAAACAGTAAAAAGTATCATAGCAATAATATTGTCCGTTTAATGCTGTTTGTGCGTGAAAAATGCAAAAAACGTCACTTTTACTGGCGATATCATCGTTGTAATACATTTTACTGTTTTGAAACACTAATATTTGTGTTCAGCGAAGTCTCCCGAGTAGAACAGTACCCCCCATGTACAGGTTTTATGGTGTCTCGGAAAGTTATAGGGTTAAATATAGTGCTAGCAAATTAAATTCCCTTTACTTTCGGCATGGGTTGTCATGCAGGTCCTGCTAATTGTAATTAATTAAGATACCTAATTATGTAAAAATATTACATAAATATATATGTAGAATCAATATATGTATATATATACGTATGTGTATATATATGTATATATCTATATAATTTTTTAAAAATATTTTTATTTATATATAGGTATATATATAGTGATATATACGTATATATTTATGTGTATAAATATATATATTATTTCGTTCTATGTGTATTTTGATATATATATATATATATTAATTTCACAATACAGTTAGAACGAAATAACACACATCTATATATTTTTTAATTATTTATTTTTAATTATTTTTGTAATTTTATTTTTTAACGTATTTACATTTTAATTTTTTTTATAATATATATAAATATATATATAACAATAATTATATATATATTTAATCAGTATCAGTCTACGTGTAATTTGATATTAATATATATATATAATTATATATATATTAATAGTAAAATACACCTAGACGGTGTACATGTGTGTATGTATATGTGTATATATATACTTTGATCATATATATATAATATATATATATGATCTAAGTATATATAATTTTATTTTTTTACACTTTTAACTTATTTTACTTTTATTTTCAGCCAGCAGGGGGACCCCCTGTAATTACAGGCAGCCCCCCTGCTGGCAATACAGAAGCCAGCTATACCCGGCCATGTGATTGTGGGGTCCTCGCTAGGACCCCACTCTCACACGGCCGGGGGGCTTCCTGGAGGACGGTCGTGCCGCGGGGGGCTCCCTGGGAGTCCCCCCCACCGCGATCGCCGGCGTGGGACCGCCGGCGACCGGGTAAGTACAGAAAGACCGGAGGGCGTACTATTACGCCCGGCGGCGTTTAGAGCCGCCTATTAGAGGACGTAATAGTACGCCCTGCGGTCTTAAGGGGTTAAGCAGACTGTGATTGTCTATTGTTGTGACTCAGATGATGATCAGATCACATTTTATGACCAATTTGTGCAGAAATCCATATCATTCCAAAGGGTTCACACACTTTTTCTTGCAACTGTATAGGCAGTGTTGGGTCTTTTTGTAAATATTTTTGGTGGAACTCTTTCATTGTAAGATAAGTCTTATTTCCCAAACCATGTGAAGATGGAAAGCACTTACTTTGTGTATTGTGACAGTGTACTGCTCCCATATCGTCATCTCCTCCATTTCAGACACCTAGAAAAAGAGGGGATAAAAAATAATTTTGTGAATGTGAACATGATGCACGTGAGCACGTTACTGGAGATGAGCGCTAAAGGAGACTCCTGTACATGGTTAGGCGTTCTTTTTGATGGAGGAGACTATATGGTGCGCGTGGCAAAATTATAGAATTTGTTTGTTTTGGGTTTTTTTACACTGTGTTTTTTCCTTTTTATTTAAACTGGCCTGTAAATTAACTTGCTGCAGTGTTTAAATATGTAGATCAAAGTCGATTCCTCAGGTATCATATAGATTAGCAGAAAAACCGGTTGACTGCATGTGAAGGACTGTCTGTGTAAGTCTGGTGTCAATTATTTGTTATGATCTTGTCTCAGTGGCCACTATTACCCGGGATGCAAGCAGTAGTCAGTTTGAATACAGTCCTTAAATTGTTTGGTTCCCCCCCCTCCGCCCTTTCATTCTTTAAATCAGGGGTGCCCAAAAGGTAGATACCCAGATTTTGTAGAATTACAACTAACAATGGTTGCTTTGTATATCTTTAGAATGGCAAAACATCATGGAAGCTGTAGTTAGAAACATAGAATGTGACGGTAGATAAGAACCATTCGGCCCATCTAGTCTGCCCAATATTTTAAAATACTTTCATTAGTCCCTAGCCTTATCTTATAGTTAGGATAGCCTTATGCCTATCCCATGCATGCTTAAACTCCTTTACTGTGTTAACCTCTACCACTTCAGCTGGAAGGCTATTCCATGCATCCACTACCCTCTCAGTAAAGTAATACTTCCTGATATTATTTTTAAACCTTTGTCCCTCTAATTTAAGACTATGTCCTCTTGTTGTGGTAGTTTTTCTTCTTTTAAATATAGTCTCCTCCTTTACTGTGTTGATTCCCTTTATATATTTAAATGTTTCTATCATATCCCCCCTGTCTCGTCTTTCCTCCAAGCTATACATGTTAAGATCCTTTAACCTTTCCTGGTAAGTTTTATCCTGCAATCCATGAACCAAGAAGTTACTTGTGAATCAGGAGCTACATCTTTTTTTTCCCCTATAGGATCTGGTCGTGTCTCTATCTGGGAATGAACATGCGCTCAGTACAAGATTTTGCACAATACAAACAACACTGACACAGATAGCCTGGAACTCAATGTCCCAACAGTTTAAAAAAAATCTGGGGATCTACCTTTTGAGCACCACTGTTCTAAATAATAATTTAGGATTAAAATTGTTACCCAACTGGTTGTTTGATAAAATGAATGAATCAGTTTGGTTAGAAGCATGTAGATCGCTCTAAAGCTTCAAGTAAGTGTGAAATGTATACTCTTGAGCTGAAGGTAATATGAAGAAATAATAATAATAATAATAATAATAATAATAATAATAGGTTTGTCTTGGACATTTTTCTCTCTTTAAAATGTGGCTTGGCCCAAAAAGTATTGGCAACTGCTGCTCTGACATTTATGTTTCTTAGAGTCGTATACATTGGAGTTTAGTTAACAGATTACATAATACAATATTGATCTATTGCTCTTTAGCAGATATAATTAAGGAAGTAATAAAACTAAATGTTACTGAATCTTTGACATAAGATTTCCTTGTAGCAGGTTAACCGGAATCAATACGAGAATGTGAAAGAGATTAATAGATAACTGTGGAATTCAATATGGAGATCAGTAACTGATAGGATCATATACACACTCACTCACATGTATCAGTTTTTGAAACGTTTTTGGCTCTGGGTTCTAAAGCAAACATAATCGGTGTGGATTACATGGCAAACAGCGGATTTCTTCCAAACAGAAAGTAGAAACAGAAGAAAGAAACAAATAGGAGACATACATGTTTATACTGAAACAAAGTTATCTGGAGACTAACAAATTAAACCGATAATTTATTTCTAAACGGTTTCACTAAAGTCACAGCCTAAATGGGGGACACCGTAGCACCTCCTCTAGTAGCAAGTGAAAGAGGAGCATAAAACTCCAAACCAACTGCCGACCAAATAATAGTGTTCTCGTCCAATCCAGTACTTGTCATAGAAAAGTACAGAGGACGGGAAAAGCATGGGCTGCAAGTGCTGTACTCCTCCAATCAAATGCTTCTCACAGAGAAGCACAGAATCCAACGCCTCTCAATGAGAAGCACAAAAGTCCTTATACGGTGTGTGAGGATATTAAACATCACAAATTGTCCCAAGACTGTGTCGGACTCAGTTGTAGTATTGAAAGCACCCTCTGGTGGCTGGTGGGAAGACAGAAGTGTTTAGCCCGGCAATGTAAACATTGGCGTGTTTGCAAAACAGTGATGGTTTACATTGCAGGACCAAAACATCAGGGCCACTGCACCCAGACCACTTTATTGAGAGGACATGGTCTGCGTGCTGGTAGTGGTCTCAAAAAGTGAACTATTTAATACTAGTTTTCCTTTAACTTCTAATAGGCCAGCAGAATAAAATGCTTGAATCAAGTATGGCAATAGTCAATAAGGAGTGTTTGATAAACATATTTTGAAGACTGAAGGACCGTGTTCTTTTTTGTTTACTGAGAGCATAAAAAAAATGAAAAGAAAAAGACATGCATCACAATTATTTCTTTCAACCAGCAAGCAAACACAAAATATACAAACCAGAACAAAAACAAAACCCCTGCCAAAAAAAACCAAAAAAAAAAAACCCCACAATTTTGAAAAGTATGTAATAAGCATTTACAAAACTATAAACATTGTCAGATGCATTTTTTTGGCATGCCTCTCAGCTAGGGGAGTTTCTTCAGTCTCCCTCGCCCCCTCTCCTTACACACCCATCTCAGTTTCAGACCAGTCCACTGATTACAGAAAGAGGGCATTATTGTGCAGCAGCAGGAGAGAGAAACCTGGCACCAGAGTCTGCTCTGCATGATCACACTGATCAGACTCCCTCTCTTCTCCCCTGGTCGCTCTAAAAAATGTAAAATAACTTTCTTCAGTATATATTTATGAGGATCCTATGGCAAGAGATATGCAAATGATTGCTGCAAAAAACTTGTGATTGGATAACTCGAGAAAAGGTGCTACAGCTATTAAAGAAAATTAATGTAAATAAAGCTCTGGGGCCTGACGGTATTCACCCACGAGTACTTAAGGAGCTAAGTTGGGAAATAAGTGAACCTCTGTATTTAATTTTTCAAGATTCGTTTGTTTCAGGTGTTGTACCAGAGGATTGGAGGAAGGCAGATGTTGTTCCTATATTTAAAAAGGGTTCAAAATCCTTGCCTGGAAATTATAGACCTGTAAGCTTAACTTCTGTAACTGGGAAAATATTTGAAGGGCTATTAAGGGATAATATTCAGGAATTCATTGGGAAGAACTTTGTTATTAGCAATAATCAGCATGGTTTTATGAAACATAGGTCATATCAAACTAACCTAATTGCATTCTACGAAGAAGTAAGTAGAAGTATAGATCAGGGTGTTGCAGTGGATGTGATCTACTTGGATTTTGCCAAGGCATTTGATACGGTTCCTCACAATAGGTTAGTCTTCAAACTAAAAGAAATTGGTCTAGATGAATATTCTTGTTCTTGGGTAGAACATTGGCTTAAGGATAGAGTACAACGAGTTGTAATTAATGGTAAATTTTCAGGCTGGACAAAAGTGGTAAGTGGTGTCCCTCAGGGTGCTGTTTTGTGACCACTTCTGTTTAACATATTTATAAATGATCTTGAAATAGGCATTGAAAGCCACGTATCAGTGTTTGCAGATGACACAAAACTTTGTAAAGTAATAAAATGTGAGCAGGATATTGCTTTTGCTGCAGAGAGATTTGGATAGATTGGGGGACGGGGCACTAAAATGGCAGATTAAATTTAACATAGAGAAATGCAAAGTTATGCACTTTAGGGTTAAGAATGCACAAGCAACTAAATGGTAGTAAATAGCCCCATACAATATTGAATCAGCTACACCCAGGACTCCCAGCACACAACCCTGCAGGACTTGCCATAAGCAGAGGTAGCATTTCTGGATGATCGCTTCCCACCCTCCCCATGGTAATCACTACATTTATTGATAGCTCAAATTACCTACCTTCCTGTTAAACCAATTATGTTAGCCTCTGTCCACCAAGCCCTCCACACCCAAAATAGCTATACTCACACAATACCTCTTTAAACCTTAACCCTCCTAACCACAGCTCTTAAAAATACAGCACCTACTCTCCTTCTCACTTCTATTTTTTCACTTTCTCTCTCACTTCCCTCGTCATTAAAATCTCTCTATCATTTTACTTACCTGTTCCTGCTAACACCATCTTCATTGCTTCATCTCTGCTCCCCTCATCTCTGTATTCATCACACACACACTTTACTCATATTTATCCAGCCTTTCTCCACACACCCCTCCTAAATACCCTAAATACAAGCTCTCATCCCCCCACATACAGCACTACCCTTACATCTGCCTTGAACGCTGCAGCCCCACTTCAAACATACACCTCGAGGAGGACACGACCCCAACCTTGGCATAAATCAACACGCTATCTGCAGAGTTGCTCCCGTTGTGCTGAACGCTCCTGGAGGAAGTCCCGCACCCAGGCAGACTTTCTCCATTATAGATTCATGTTGCTTTCATACAGCGCAGCCCTCGCCAAACAGTCATACTTTTTCTCTCTCATTAGTTCATGCTCCCGCAATCCCAGACGTCTCTTTGACACCTTTAATTCCCTTCTCCGCCCTGCTGTGGCCACCCCCCAAACTAACCTTACAGCTGATAGCTTTGCATGCTACTTTACCGACAAGATTGAACAGCTAAGGAAACAATTCTCCCTTCCTTGCCGTTCTCTTTCTCAACCACATGTAAATCATGCTTTCCCTACCCTCCAGACTTTCTACCCGGCTACTGAACAAGAGGTGACTGCGCTTCTCCATTCCTCTCGCTCCACCACTTGCCCGCTCGATCCTGTCCCATGTCACCTCATCAGATTTCTCTCCCCTTGTCTTGTGCCTACCCTAACACACATCTTTAACTGCTCTCTCTCTTCTGGCACTGTTCCTCCTGACCTTAAACATGCCACTGTAATACCTATCCTGAAAAAAACATCTCTTGACCCATCTTCCCCTTCTAAATATCATCCCATATCCCTGCTCTCTTTCTCAAAGCTTTTGGAAAGACTTGTCTTTACCCGTGTGTCCCGCTTCCTTAATTCCAACTCTCTCCTTGACCCTCTTCAGTCTGGCTTCCGCCCTCTCCACTCTACTGAGACTGCTCTTATCAAAGTGACTAATGACCTAATCTCCGCTAAATCCAAAAGTCACTACTCCATATTAATTCTCCTTGACCTCTCTGCTGCCTTTGACACCGTTGAGCATGCTCTCCTCCTTTGAACTCTTCAATCGCTCGGTCTCTGTGACTCTGTCCTCTCTTGGTTTTCCTCCTATCTCTCCCAACACTCATTCAGTGTCTCCTTTCCCAAGGATACCTCCTCCCCTCGTCCTGTCTCGGTTGGAGTTCCCCAAGGGTCTGTCCTTGGACCCCTTCTATTTTCTCTTTATACTGCCTCTCTTGGTAAACTTATTGCCTCTTTTGGATTCCACTACCACCTGTACACTGATGACACTCAGATATACCTCTCCTCCCCGGACCTCTCCCCTGCCATCCTGCAACGTTTCACTGCTTGCCTTTCTTCCATCTCTGACTGGATGTCCTCACGCTTTCTGAAACTTAGCCTCTCTAAAACTGAACTCCTTGTTTTTCCTCCTCCTAATACTGATCCTCCTCTCTCGCTCTCCCTTCAAGTCAGTGATATCTACATAAGTCCATCCCTGCAAGCACGCTGTCTTGGCGTCATACTTGACTCTGGTCTCACCTTTGAGTCTCACATCCAGTTTGTTGCCCAGTCCTGTAGGTTCCAACTCAAAAACATAGCCCGCATCCGGCCCTTTCTTACGCAAGATGCTACCAAGGAGCTTGTCCATGCTCTAGTAATTTCCCGCACGGATTACTGTAACCCTCTCATGATGGGTCTCCCCAAAAGCCGTATTGTCCCGCTACAGTCTGTAATGAATGCTGCAGCTAGACTGATTTTCCTCTCTAGTCGGTCCTCTCACACCTCACCCCTCTGCCAGTCCTTACATTGGCTCCCTGTATGCTATAGGAGTCAATTCAAAGTGCTAACCCATACATTTAAAGCACTGAACAATTCTAGCCCCTCTTATATCTCTTCACTAATCCATAGATATGCCCCTCCTTGTACCCTCCGCTCTGCCCGTGACCACCTCCTGACCGCTGCTCACACCCATACGGCCAACTCGCGCTTGCAGGACCTCTCGCGGCGGCTCCTCTCCTATGGAATAGCTTGCCTACTGCCATCAGACTCTCCCCTAGTCTTCAATCATTTAAGAAGTGCCTTAAAACCCATCTCTTCAGGAAAGTGTATGGCCTCCCAGAGTAATCTCTACCTTACATACCTGTCTCCTGCTCTCTCCTATGGGACAGTGCTTTGCCCTCTCCTCCAGCTCTGCTTCACTCCTACTTGATAATTCCTGTCCTAATGTTTCTAATACCCCACCTCCTATAGTCTGTAAGCTCGTTTGAGCAGGGTCCTCTTCAACCTATTGTTCCTGTAATAGTCCTATTTATTGTTACATCCCCCCTCTCAAAATATTGTAAAGCGCTACAGAATATGTTGGCGCTATATAAATGGCAATAATAATAATAATAATAATAATTAGGGATAACCACACACGAGAAGGATTTGGGAATTGTTATAGACAACAAATTAGGCAGCAATATGCAATGTCAATCTGCAGTTGCTAAGGCCAGTAAGATTTTGTCATGTATATATAGGGGCATAAAAATATAATTTTGACTCTTTATAAATCGCTGGTAAGACCACACCTTGAATATGCTGTGCAATTTTGGGCACCTGTTCTAAAGAAGGATATCATGGCACTGGAGAGGGTCCAGACACGAGCTACAAAATTGATAAATAATGGAGCATTTTAGTTATGAAGAAAGGTTTAAAAAATTAAATCTGTTTAGTTTGGAAAAACAGCGCCTGAGAGGGGATATGATAACTTTATACAAATATATTCGGGGCCAGTACAAACCTTTATCTGGAAATCTATTCATAAACAGGGCTATACATAGGACACGAGGTCACACATTTAGGCTGGAAGAAAGGAGATTTCATCTAAGGCAAAGAAAAGGTTTTTTTACAGTAAGAACAATAAGGATATGGAATTCTCTGCCTGATGGTTTTGTCAGAGTCCATACAGATGTTTAAACTGAAAATGGATAAATACTTACAAAAACATAACATACAGGGATATAATTTCTAATTAATGGGGTAATAGCTGCTTGATCCAAGGAGACATCTGACTGCTATTTTGGGTTCAAGAAGGAATTTTTTCCTAGTTTGTGGCAAAATTGGAAGCGCTTCAGACCAGGTTTTTTGCCTTTTTTTGGATCAACAGCAAAAAACATATGTGAGGAAGGCTGAACTTGATGGACGCAAGTCTCTTTTCAGCTATGTAACTATGGTCAGGATAGTGTAAGGTAAAGAGATATTCCAACTGCACATGGTTAAAGCAGTCAGGCATGCCTAGTGCTCCTTTCTAGCATTCCTAGGGATAGTACACAGATTGGTTACATCAACAACCCCGGGAGTAGATGTGAAAAACAAAGTAGTAGCAGATAAATATTGGGAGGAGAGAATCCCATTTACCTGCTTTTTTCAGCATCCAAAATTGTATCATTAAAATTAAAAGTTTTTGAATGAAACGGTTGTCTCAAAGTGATGCCTGTCCCTTTAAGACAGTCAGCTGATAAGAGAGTAATTTATTACCATTTACTACTGAGGTGCATCTAATGCAGACTGCATTGTTGGATATATACAAAATTTGTACATGGTATATATATATATATATTTATATTTACAAAAAAGCTTTTTACGATCTCTGGAATATTCTTCAAATAAATACTTTATTTTAATAGAGTTTGTTTTTAAGGTTTTTGATATATTGCAGTTATTTTTGTGATCAACTGTCCATATGTGTATTTTTATAGTTATAGACTTCATAGCGATAGTTGTTTAATGAAACTAGTGCGCGCACACACTTTATGAACAGAATTAAAACTGCTGAGAATGTCGGAATACATAGAAGCAATAGAATTCAAACATTTATTAATCTAATGTAATTAAAAAAACACTCCAAATTCGGCTATACAGAGACGGTATGGGGATTTTGGTTTGCCTCCTTTTTTATGCAAACAGAATTAAAGAACATACAAAATCTGTGGGAAAAGGATACAAATTAAATACTAATAACCAGCAGGACCACAGCACCGTGAGGCTGTGTCCTTTCTCTACTATCTACCAAGCAGAATTTCAAGGGCTAAAATAATTTTTTATTTTTTATTTTTTTTTAAATTAAATAGAATGCAAGAAATCTTGAGACCCAGATAGAAGCAGAACATTGTTAAAGACACATGTACATTTCTTGCAGCAGGGGGTCAGTTTTGGGTACAGCAACATGCAGTGTTTATGGTATGATCCACATCTGTCCCAGCTCCACTTTCTTTTCCCCACAACCCATAACTGATGTATGAAATTCAAATTCAGATTGAATTGGCTGGTACTTTACATGTAAACAAGTGGAACTAGTGTTAGTTAGCAAGTCTTGTATAATGTGAACCCTGGATGCAAGCTAAAATCATTCTCTTATTTAATTCATTTTCACCAATATGAAAATTCTCAACTCTTAATTTTTGAAGAGAGCTGGAATTCTTCAATGTATGTTTTAGAAATCATAAACAGATTGTCAGCTCCTGCTATGATATTGTTTATCAATTACTTCTTGTATAACTAAAGCACTACAGAATATGTCTATTTTGTAAATTTTCAGGTATTATGTATTTCTCATGGGCCCCTTACGAATATTAATATCAAATAATTTTCATAACAGTGAGCTTGAAATATGTTACCAAAATATGTGCACTTATTTAAAAGGTTTTTTTTGTAAAATCAACCAGAACACTTTACCCCATAGGTGCCCAAAATGTAGATCCCCAGATGTTGTAGAACTACAACTCCTGTGATGCTTAGCATGCCTTCAGAATGACAAAGCATCCTGGAAGCTGCAGTTTTTAAAACATCTGGGGATCTACCTTTTGGACACCCCTGCTTTACCTGATTGTCACAAGCCTGTCTAAATATTATTTTTTATTTTTTTAAAGTCCTGAAATATTAATGCTTATTATTCAACAAGCTAGAAGTGCTCAGCACGGTGAGCACACTGCCCCTTTAATAAGAGACCCTTCTAAAAGATACATCCTGTGGGGCAGCATTGGCTGTTTGAAAGTCCCTATACATTATCTGTAAGGGAGGCTTGTAATTGGCGAGTCATTATGGCCTTAATTATGATGCATGTAAATATTGCTCATATGCCCTGGGGAGGTAGAACTTGTTATTTAGAAAGAGCAGAGCTTACCTGGAAGCGCACAGCCATAACTGAGCTCAGCAAACAGACGTGCAGGGGCTACAGGTTTAGGTGGGGGAGGGGGGCTTTGAAACAAGTGCAGATGTAGGGTCAGGTCCTTTAGAGAAATTTCATTTCACCTGCACACCTGTACCTTCCTGCTGATGCCCCGCCTATGTTAAAAAACAGGAAAGTGTACAGAGGAAGGCGGAGAATGGGAGGAGTACAGGATATTTAGGTATCACTCCCTTGTATAAAGGTGGTACTTAGTATCGGTGTACAGCTCGCAGGGAGATAGAACAAGGTGGAATGTTATTATTCTAAATGGAATGTTATGGTTCTAAATGGAATGTTATGGTTATAGATGGAACGTTACGGGTCCACCGCTAAGAAAACTGCAGCAGGTTTACTAGACTTTGGAAAACTTTATTAACACATCAAGGGCAAGCTCATTCTGAAAATCTTGTAACAGGCTAGACCAGGCACACACAAGCAAGGGACTTGTGCAGAAAATGCAGGACCGTGGGTTTGTGCCAGAAGACTCAAAGACCTTTGTGTTGTGTTATTGTAACAAGCATGGGTGAATGAGAGGCAGACTCCCAGCTTTAGAACTACAACTCCCATTATGCACCATGACAGCTGTATTCCCACAGAAGCTTTGGGTCTTGCATAAAAAATTTTTTAAAAAGGACAATCAAGATTTTCTTCACTCAAAAAAACCCCAAAACCTGTTTTTATATTTTCTCTCTCACACACTGATCCACATTGTTTATAGTTTCCTCTAATTCCAGTTTTGACAAGTTACACTGTGTATAGTTTGATGCTCAGTTTAAAGAGCTGACCTGTTTTGCTCCTTGTTACAATCTGTACCCATTTCCTTGCCATGGAGCCCTTGCTGGCAGTGCACCAACATTGGCAGGGGGTGACAACTACCTGGTGATACAGCTGCAGCTCTTTGTGGTTTTTGGATGTAATATGACAGAGCAGCAATGCCCAGCATCTTAACCCATGATGTTTACTTGCCTTTGTATATAACAAATATGGATTTCATTTATTATTAAAAGAATGGACACTGGCAGTCAGCAAACAGAAGAAAAAAAATTACGAAACCATGTTTCTATTTCTTCTCTTCTTTAGCAATGTTTGCGCTAGCTATATGCTTTGTCTGAACTGCATTCTGATATAATTTAATAAATCATGCACTTCTTTGCAGTGGTTATGGTGCCAGGAATGCTCGTCTTTGTAAAGGTTCAAACTGTTTTAGAATGGTTTCACTTCTCTCCTGGGGTCTGCTAGGTGCTGCTCCCCATCTCAACTACTTCCTAAGGAGAGCCGGATACGCCTAAGCAGGAGCTCCCGATAGATCCCCTAAACAAAGCCCTCAAATGCAGAACTAGCTTATTGGCTGAGAAGCTGATGGTTGCGCTCAGCCACAGATCTAAACCCTGCACCCATGAGCTTAGCTCAGATAGAGTGCTTTCTGCACTCCATAGCAAGTAGTGGATGCAGGACGCAGCACCCAGCAGACACGAGCTAAGAAGTGAAATTTTCTAAAATGGTGTCAATACTTACAATAGAGGTGCACCATAGCAGCTACAGAATGCTGTAGTGGTTATAGTGCTGGGATCAGCCACAACATTAAAACCACCTGCCTAATATCGTACTGGGACCTCATGCTGCCAAAACAGCTCTGATGCATTGAAGCATGGACTCCACAATACCTCTAAACGTATCCTGTGTTACCTGGCATCAAGACAATAGTAGCAGATCCTTTAAGTCTTGCAAGTTGCGAGGTTGGACCTCCATGGATCAGATTTGTTGTTCCAGCACATCCCAGAGATGCTTAATTGGATTGAGATCCAGGGAATTTGGAGGCCAAAGCAACACCTTTAACTGTGTGTCATGTTCCTCAAACCATTCCAAAACAATCTTTGCAAGGTGGCAAAGCGACTACTGCCATCAGGGAACATCATTGCCATGAAGGGATGTACGTGGTCTGCAACAATCTCTACGTAGGATGGTATGTGTTAAAGTAACATCCACATGAATACCAGGACCCAAGGTTTCCCAGCAGAACATTGCCCAGAGCACAACACTGCCTCTGCCAGCCTGCCTTCTTCCCATAGTGCATCCTGCTGCCATCTCTTT